CTCTTGTAAGGGTACATTTCAAGATAAATGGGAAGTGGTACCCTTTACCTTGAAGTGTCCATGCTCTTACCGGTTCAATACTATACAAAAGAGTTCTAGGTTATTGCAATATTTCCATGTGCTCATGCAGTCATGTTTTTGTAAATGTCAAAGAAAACAATGGGATAACAGTACAGAAGCTACATAGAGTCAAATGGAAAACTAATTGGTGGCTTTATGATTAGTCTAGACAGGAAACCATAGCCTCTACCAGTGAGAAATGCACTGTGAGCTTCTCTATAAAAAAAGTCAGTGTGATAATTATTTGCTGCTACCTGACAGAAGGAGCCTGGTAGCATCTTTCCAGACTAACAAATGTGTTTGAAAGGCACATGTTTTTGTGAACACTGTGCCCAGAGAAAGAGTTCCCATCCCAGACAAATAGCTACCCAGCCTTTGCTTGAAAACTTCCAGATACTCACAGCTTCAGAAGGCAGGCTGTCCCACTGCTTAATAGTTCTCATGGTCAGGAAATTTCTTCTTACTCAGAATTTGGATCTCCCTTTGTAAAGCTTCCACCTACTTCTCCTCCTACCCTTGAAAGCTCTAGTGGATAAATCCACGCTTTTTACTATATTTGGATCTCCCTTTCTAAAGCATCCACCTACTTCTTCTCCTACCCTTGAAAGCTCTAATGGATAAATCCATGCTTTTTACTGTAACAGTATTTGAAGTATTTAAAGATTACCATCATATCTTCCCATAGCCTAAACATCCTTGGTTCAGTTCACTGTTCTTCATAGGATTTAACTCTGAGCCATTTAACATCTTCGTGGCCCTTTTCTACCTTCCTTCGGGTTCCTCAGTGTGGACAACCTCTTTGTATTGTGGCATCCAAAAACTACCAACTCTCTTATCCTCGTTCATTTCCTTTTCAGTATTATCCATTTCTTGTAACCTAATGAAAGGAATCATTTCAAGCATGCTATAAATAAGTATTGTTAGTATATAGTTTCAGCTACACTTTAAATAGAAATGCCAGGCATATGAACACATTTGGGATCTTAGAACACAATTGGGATCAAGTTACTTTTTGGGACAAACAATTACGGAGAATAATTTGTGATCTTTACATTGGTTAACCCAACACTCCAGAGTTCCTTTTCAGAAAGAAGTATTTCCTATGCAACAGTTACAGCTCCCCCCCCCCAGCTCTTAAAGTCTTTATTTCAAACAGGTACCCTGTATGATGCACAGAGATGACATAGGAAGCTGCAGAAACAAGCAGTAAAAAATGAAAACTTGACTGTAAAAAGACCAAATCTGATTTCTTTGATTGCATGTGTTAATTAATTTTTAATATAAATGAGCATTTACTGCAAGATGTTCATTTGAGTTTACACCATTTACGCAAAGTATCCCTTGTTTGCTTTATTGAGAAATTTGGAAAAAGCAAGAGAATTATATTGAATGTTTTGATTTGAGATCGAGTTACATCTTCTTTAACCATTAGAGATCTTATAGATTGCACATGGACATTGCACAGCCATTTTCCTACTTCCTTCAGATGGCTATTTATATTTTTATATCGGCATTGCCTACTCAATGTTTCGTACAATGTTTAAAAGCCATAGTAAATCAAAACCACAATAAAAATCCTACTACAGACTGCCTAACCTGGGGTTCTTCACACAAAAGGCCCTGTGGATGAGCACTATAGGTGTTTTTTTTTAAAAAAATTTCCTAAATGTTAAGCAGGGGTGCCAGGCATACCCTGAACTTACAGAACAAGCTATACTAAAGTAAGAGGGCTCCTTCCAAAAAGACCATCCTACAAGGCTCTAGTCTAGTGATAGCGAACTTTTTAGAGACCGAGTGCCCAAACTGCAACCCAAAACCCATTTATTAATTGTCGGGTGCCAGGTGGACGTGGCCCACTGGGTGGGCATGGCTGTGGTGGTCATAGCAATTGGGTGAGTGTGGCCAAGGTGGGTGTGACCACCTCAATGTTGCTCATGAGGAGGGATGTCTGTGGGGGCCCAGAAGGGTTGGGGGAGATCCAGGGGGTCTCTGGCAGGTGGGGTGGTAGGCAGGAGGCTTGCCTGCAGGGTGAGGTGAGGCAGGGCGGGGGTGCCATTGTCACAGGGCAAGATGAGGCAGGGGCCGGGGCAACAGCTGCCTGACACCATCGGAGATCAGAGGTCAGCGAGCACATGGTTGCTGAGATTCATCCGGCCACATGAGACCTCGGCGAGTTAGCGGGCAGCTGGTTGAAGAGGGATGATTCCATCTCTGGGGCATGGCACATGTGCCCACAGAAAGGGCTCTGAGTGCCACCTCTGGCACACGTGCCATAGGTTCACCACCACTGCTCTAGCCCCTTCCCAGGGACATGTATTTCCAAAAAGACCCAAATCATAAAGATATCTAACAGGACCAAAAAGGATGCATCACCTTCATTCAGGTCCTACTGCAGGTCATCCAAAAAATCACCAATGTGGCTTCATCCTATACCCGAATCCTAACTGCAAGATAAATAATCCCCATTCAGAGCCTTTTATAGTTGCCGCCCTATCGCCTTCTACCTACCCCTCTTTAAGTGGGTATGAAAAAATGTCTAACAAACCGGTCATAGTCACCTATAGAATGATATATCAGTCCAAAGGGAAGGAATTCTGTTAAATAAGGTCTCCTGATGACATTATGCTAAATGTACTAAGTTTAGAGAACTATTTAGTCTAGTCCTCCCTCACTGCCATCATGTAGACGCTAACCTGATCTTGTACCTATATCAGGTCATCTTTGCTCTAGATGTTCCATAGTTACTTCATCTCTTTCTTTGTGAACTAAGTGGTACCATCAGATTGATGCAGCAAAAGAAGACACTTGAAGGCAACTTCATCAAGCACAATAGTCATCTTTTTATTGCATAATGGAACTATGTGCCCAATAGAGTTATCTGTCTAACCATTGTGAAATTTCTCCAGTTGAATCCCTAAAGAATCTAGAGCAGACCATGTAAATAATGCCTTTATCCATCTCCTTTCTCTCCACCACCACCCCCCGCCACCCTGCAGATAGGTGGTGGTTAAAGAATGACCAAAGAATGATCTTAACATAACAGAATTCTGAGATTAATGTCCTCTATGTTCAGTTCTCAAACTGGTCTGAGGTGAAAATCAATCTAATCAGTCACACACACACACACACACACACACACACACACACAGTGTATGTCAATGCTGGGATGACTTGGGACAAACTCTTAATTTCCAGGACAACCTGAATTTCCAAGCTTAGGTAAATACATGCTGTGGATTCTCTTTTCTTTTTTCTTTTCATTTATATCTTAGTTTTGTCACAGAGAGCTAAAGATGAGAAATATCTATGACATATAATGCTGATTTTAAAAAGGAGACTAGGATTACAAAAGCAAGGAAATGCAAAAAGGGAATAAACACCCACTATGTTTCTAATGACTTCCTCAGGGCAAATGCCCGTTAAGAAAACTTCCTTAAAAAGACTTTTTCAGCCATGACATGTAGGGAAACATGAAATATGAATGGCAGAGGCAGCAGCTCATGGCCTCCAACAGTGTTTTCCAACTTAAAGTTATCCAGCTACATCACTCTGCAACTCTCATTGCGCCCCGGTCAATTTGCCCTACAGTCAGACAGGATGAATTATAGGGAAACTGAAGTTCAACACCCAACAGGTTGTCACTTCCACAAAAATTGTTGGGGGAAATAAAGATTGCATTTATTTTTCAAGACTTTTGACAGTTTGCTGGCATTTCCTGAATCCGTGATTTCAACATTATGCTTTCTAATAATTGTATCTGCTTGTTGCCCCTCAAAAGTCATTACTATCTGGGTCCAGCTGAGGAAGAGAAAGGAGCAGGAGAGAAGAGGCATCAAAAAACTGGGCAAACAAATTTTACTTATATTCTCGTTGTGATAGAAAACCGTATGGTAAAAAAAAAAGCTCCCATTAAAAATATACTAAAGCCTCTGGACCCATGGCATTGATTGGGTAAAGCACATTTTGCTTACTTGTTTCCCCACATTTTTTTTTCTTCCTAGCATTTCCCAGCAAATGCAGGATCAACCAAATGCTGATCCAGTGTTTGTAACAGGAGTTTTCTGACCTGCTTATCATCCAAGCCTGACATCATGGACTGAGAGAGAGTGCTTTGCCCAACATTTTCCAACTGGCTTTCATGCCATTTCCTCCCATGGAAATATACAATGATTGAATGAACTCCTATAGTCCAATATTATTTCATTTCAGAACAACTGTTAAATGAGTATACCTTGAAGGCTAACACATTAAGCAGCTGATTTACTTATGCATTATATTTTTATTCCATATTTATTACTTTACAAGTAATTCAAAGTGGGAAACGTACCTAATACTCTTTCCTCCTCCTATTTTCTCCATAGCAACAACCCTGGATGGCCGATAAGATCGTTGGCAGCTCCCTCCCTCCCATCCAGAACATAGCACAGAAGTGTTGCTTGAGCAGGGTCCATAAGATTATTTGGGACACTAGACATCCTCTTCACAACCTGTTTTCCTTGTTACCTTCTGGGAGGAGGCTTCGTGGTATCCGAAGCAGAACATCCAGATTCAGCCATAGTTTCATTCCCTACAGCATTAGCCTTGTGATCTCTCAAGCTTCCTCCTTCCGTTACATAATTCAAGATGGACAGTATTTAATATTTATTTGTTATGTATATGTAGGGGTGTGGGTCTATACATATATTGTACATAGTATGTTTAGGTATGTGTCATGAATGTGTTTCACTTTGAGACCGGACAACTAAATTTCATTTTTGATGTGTGCCGTTGTGCCCACAGTAAAAAAATGACAATAAAGGTTATCTTATCTTATCTTATCTGTGAGGTGAGTTGGGCTAAGAGAGAGTAAGTGAATGGCCTAAGGCAGGGGTCTTCAAACTTGGCCCTTTTATGACTTGTCATAAAAGGGCCAAGTTTGAAGACCCCTGGCCTAAGGTCACCCAGCTGGCTTTCATGCCTAAGGTGGGATTAGAACTCACAGTCTCCTAGTTTCTAGGCCAGCATCTTAACTACTAAACCAAACTGGCTTAGGATACAGCATGATTTCATTGTGTTCAGAATTAACAAATCTCTTTCCCTGCTCATCAATTTCTATTTGACTGTTGTGAAGAATTTGGTTTAAACAGACCTATTTTAAGACACACCAAACAAGTACTGCACTGATATTGTAGATCCCAACTGATTTGGCAAATTCAAAAGTTCAGTTCAACATTCATGAAAGAAACTGACTTTGTTTGCATTGCTATGTAGACATTAAAGATTCCCTGAGTAAAGCCTTGGGAGCATGTCATGTTTCACTATGTGATAAATGATATTTCCTGATGTTTGTCAACTGCCCCATCACAAACAGGCGGATTAAAAGGATGAGTTGCAATTTTTTTCCCCAGAGGCAGTTTGCTTAGATGCAGTGAGAATTGTATATAAACATTCCTGTAGAATACATTTGCACATCTAGAGAAAAATAAGCTGTACTCCTTAGGAGACTCACAGGAAATAAAATACAAGTGTTCTCTTTCTTGATAGGTGGTTCTCTTGTTTGCAAGTGTTCTCTTATTTGCACATTCTACTTCTTCCTCTGAGGATGTCCTTTATTTGAAGAACTGCTTAATTCAACCTGGTTTAGAGATAAACAATGATAACAATGAAAAATGGGAAAACTTCAAGTTGTCTTTCAATAACACTTGTTCCACCCCATGGTGAGATATATAACATTTCTATTTCCATTATAATATTGAGTTCTGGATCTGAAACTATGGGTTTGTCAAAAACAGATCATGCCAGACAAATCTTATTGCATTCTTTGACCAAGTGACAAAATTAGTGGATCAGAGGAATGCTGTGGACATAATTTACTTGGACTTCAGTAAGGCATTTGATAAAGTAGATCACAACCTACTACTTGACAAGATAGAAAAATGTGGGGTAGACAGAACCACCACCAGATGGATCCGTAGCTGGCTGACCGGCCGTACTCAGCGAGTGGTCCTCAATGGAACTGCATCTATATGGAGGGAAGTGTGTAGTGGGGTGCCCCAGGGCTCTGTTCTGGGCCCAGTACTCTTCAACATCTTCATCAACGATTTGGATGAAGGGATAGATGGGGAACTCATCAAATTTGCAGATGACACCAAGCTGGCAGGAATAGCCAACACTCCAGAAGACAGGCTTCAGATACAGAAGGATCTGGACAGACTTGAACACTGGGCACTAACTAACAAAATGAAATTCAATGGTGAAAAAAGCAAGGTTCTACATTTAGGCAAGAAAAACCAAATGCACAAGTACAGCATAGGTGGCACCATGCTCAATAGTAGTAACTGTGAGAGGGACCTCGGAGTCCTAGTAGACAATCACTTAAATATGAGCCAGCAGTGTGCTGCAGCTGCCAAAAAGGCCAACACAGTGCTAGGCTGCATTAACAGAGGGATAGAATCAAGATCACGTGAAGTATTAATACCACTCTTCAATGCCTTGGTAAGGCCACACTTGGAATACTGCATCCAGTTTTGGTCACCACGATGTAAAAAAGATGTTGAGACTCTAGAAAGAGTACAGAGAAGAGCAACAAAGATGATTAGGGGACTGGAGGCTAAAACATATAAGGAACGGTTGCGAGAATTGGGTATGTCTAGTTTAACGAAGAGAAGGACAAGGGGGGACATGATAGCAGTATTCCAATATCTCAGGGGCTGCCATAAAGAAGAGGGAATTAAGCTATTTTCCAAAGCACCTGAAGGCAGGACAAGAAGCAACGGGTGGAAACTAATCAAGGAGAGAAGCAACCTAGAACTAAGGAGAAACTTCCTGACAGTGAGAACAATTAATCAGTGGAACAGCTTGCCTCCAGAAGCAGTAAATGCTCCAACACTGGAAGTTTTTAAGAAGAGACTGGACAGCCATTTGTCCGAAATGGTTTAGGGTTTCCTGCCCGAGCAGGGGGTTGGACTAGATGACCTCCAAGGTCCCTTCCAACTTTACTACTATTACTATTAGGGTAACAATTTCCTATAACTGTATAGCATTGCATTTTTAGGTTTTTGTTTTTGATAATGCCTGAATAGCTCTCCTGGTGTTTGTATAAATCTTCTAGAGTGAGTGGAGTCAATGGATACAGGTGCATTCCCTGGTGTGTATAGAATTGTTTGATTAAAAAATGAATCAGAAAGTATCAGGCTAGAATGAAAGGACCTATATAGGGAATCATGAACAGGTGGCTGCAGATAAGATAAGATAAATGTATTTGTCCCTTTTAAAGCATCTAGAAGAGATTCTCAAAAAACAAAATAATATACTATTAAAATATAATAAAAAAGTGTTCCAATGTTTGAGGAGCTACCACAAAGAAGCACAGAAGGCAAGACAAGGAACAATGGATGGAAACTAAGCAAGGAGAGAAGCAAACTAGAGCTAAAGAGAAATGTCTTAACAGTAAGAAAAATTAACCAGTGGAACGGCTTGTCTTCACAATTTGTGGGTCTTCTATCACTGGAGGTATTTAAGAAGACTGGACAGCCATTTGTCTGAAATGATACAGAGTCTTCTGCTTGAGCAGGGGGTTGGACTAGAACAGGGGTCTTCAAACTTGGCTCTTTTATGACTTGTGGACTTCAACTCCCAGAATTCCTTAGCAAGGCATGCTGGCTGAGGAATTCTGGGAGTTGAAGTCCACAAGTCATAAAAAGGCCAAGTTTGAAGACCCCTGGATTAGAAGATCTCCATGGTCCCTTCCAATGCTGTTATTTTGTGTCTACTGTGTTAAAACTTTTGCTTTGTTAAAATATGCAGGTGTGTTCAAGTTAGGTCAAACACAATATCAGTTAGACGATCTGATAATTGAAGGAAACATTAGCATGTCTAATTAAGCCTTAACTAACTTACAGTAAATGTGATGGAGCAAAGGTATGCCACAAAGTATTGATAGAGAACATATTAATTGTTCAGCTGATTTTTATGTATTTGTTATTTACTTATTTATTAAATTTATGTAGCTGGCCCATCTCACCAGAAGTGACTCTGAGTGGCATAAAGCAATCGAATAAAACAACAGCATAAAAACCATCATTATAAAAGTATGGGCAACAATTATTAAAAATAAACAATTATTTTTAAAAATGGAACATGCAAATCACAAACACAGAGAGTAAATACAGCAAGCACATTTTCTGACTAACTCATCCATTTGGGGTATGGAAATGGTCCCAGATTAGGGGTTTTTTTTTTTCCTTGTTCCTATCAGAATTCTGAATTGGCCAATTTACGGATGCATTTGAATGAAATGCCAATCCTCTGGGAACATTTCTCTTTAATTTGAATGGTGGAGGAAATGCACAAACTATTAGGCTCTGACCTCCTGTGTCCTTTAGACATTTGTCTGGTTGTTAGCAGTTGGCAAAACTTCAGCTTTGCTGTTCTTCCTGAAACAAAACAGATTTTTGAGCTAGAGTGTCAGGGTAATGTCAACAAAAAAAAATGCAAGGCTCAATTGCATACAAATAGAGAACTAGAATGTCTAAGCAGCTTTGTAACACCTTCAGCTGATTTACTAATGATTATTTGAAACAGCAGTAGTCATTAATACTATTCTCCAGAAGAGACAACCACTCTATTTTTTTCCTTATCACAAGTCATTGAAAGAAAAATATATTATTTCTTTGTCTCCATATCAGGTATACAAAACCATGGAGTTACCACTATCTTTTGCTTCTAAGGAAAATAAATCAGATAAGGTCACAAAAATAAGAGGCTATTATCATTATTGTTTATTTTCCAATCCTTGGGGTTTCCAGTGTGCCAATAAAAATATGAATAAAATACTAAACCAAAAGCCCTTCTAATGGCAAATCAACTTAACGCACTATATGGTCCTTTCAAGATTCAATGATTGATACTTCATGAAGTAAGACCGTGTTTCCTCAACTAATTGCCTCCAGTTATCTGGGGATTATAATTTCAGAGTTCATAGCCAGGTTGATTAAGCTGTCTGGAAATACTGGGACTTATATTCCCAAAACACTTGAAATACCCTAGGCTCGGAGTGGCTGATATAGGCTCTCTGAATTTTGTAGAATATTTGAAGATATTAAAAGTGTATAATTTGCCTCTGAAGTATGAAATGTGCAGAATTTCCTCATGAATTATTTAGAACATTTTCTAACATCACTTGTTGTTGGGAAATGTAAAGCTTGTTATATCAATATATCTATCAATATATATCAATCTAACTATCTATCTATTGATATATTAATAAATATCAATATATATATTGATATATATTGATATTGATATACATTGATATATTGATATATATTGTTATATCAAGACAACAATAATTAGAAGATGCTATAAAATGCTATAAATCATTGTTAGGATTAGACCTGTTTTGATCTTTACTGTGTTTGAATTCAGGTGAACATTGTTCTTGTTGCTGTTAATTGCGAAGTCGTGTCCGACCCATCGCGACCCCATGGACAACGTTCCTCCAGGTCTTCCTGTCCTCTACCATTTTCTGGAGTCCATTTAAGTTCACACCTACTGCTTTAGTGACTCCATCCAGCCATCTCATTCTCTGTCGTCCCCTTCTTCTATTGCCCTCAATCTTTCCCAGCATTAGGCCCTTCTCCAGTGAGTCCTTCCTTCTCATTAGGTGGCCAAAGTATTTGAGTTTCAGCTTCAGGATCTAGCCTTCTAAAGATTAGTCAGGGTTGATCTCTTCTAGGACTGACTAGTTTGAATGCCTTGCAGTCCAAGAGACTTGCATCTAAACCCATTCCTGATGAACCAAGAATAGTATGCCTCACTATATATTCTTAAAACCACTTAAGCTATAAAACAAAATAATGATTAGAAAAGTCCAATATTTATTGTAGCTAATAGGCTGAATATAGCTTCTTTTCAGAATGCAGTGCTTAAAAAAACAGGAAAAGGTAGCATAATATCTCAAGTATTACAAAGAATCTGTAATGATCCTGGACACTGGATCTTTACAGCCATTGATACAAGGGGAAATACACATTTATTTTAGAAAACCTCTGAAGCCCATATTACTAAATCATTTAGAGGCTTTTGTTCTATATCTTCTACCCATTAAACTTCTGTTTCTTTTCAGTTATGTAAGCTACGCACATTGAATACATCATAGGTTTTGTTGTAATTTTATGGTCTGTGCAATAACTTATCATATTGGTATTTATCATATTGGTAATTTATGGCTAAATTAAAGCCTTCAGGATGTCTAATTGCTGATGTTGCCATACAGGAAAAGAAAAGCTGAAGCTGCAAAGATAGAATTACAGTAGGACTATGGAACGTAAGAGATATGAACACAGGAAAGCTTAACACAATGAAAAATGAAATGAAACAACTACAGATTGACATCTTAGGCATCAGGGAATTGAAATGAACTGGGGTTGGACACTTTCAGTCAACGATTGCACTGTTTATTACTCAAGACATGAAAAGAAAGAAGCGCCTGTGCTGCTTTTATAATTAGGAAGGGTATGGCAAGAAAAATACTTGATTACAATGGAATCAGTGACCAAATAATATCAATTAGACTTTGTGAAGAACGCTTTAATATGTCAATCATTCAAGCTTATACTTCTGTTGCAGAAAAGGAAAAATGTTTATTACTTCTATGATTAAATTCAAAATGAAATTGACCAAACATGCAAGCAAGATGTACTTTTTGTGATTGGAGACTGGAATACTAAAGTTGGTAACATGAAAGAAAAAAAATGTACTTGAATTGTACAGCTTAGGAAACCAAAACGAAGCAAGAGATTGTCTTATCAATTTCTAACATTCTGATTTTTTCTTCCTAGCTAACACTGTTTTTAGACAATCAAAATGATGTCTCTGTACATGATCATCACGAGATGGAGTATATAGAAATCAAATTGACTATATTATTGCCAAAAGGATGTGGCGGAGCTCAATTATAGCATCAAGGACATGGCCAGGTGCCAACTTATAACTGCTCACGAATTGCTCAACTCCAAATTAAGCTGAAGAAGGAGAAAAAAACTAGTTAAATTTCTAGCTATAATCTTGAACATATGCCAGTTGTGGTGAACCTATAGCACGGATGCCAGAGGCGGCACTCAGAGCCCTCTCTGTGGGCACATGTGCCGTCGCCCCAGTCCTAGGCCTTCAGCTTGGTTTTATAAAACCTTTTCGCTGTAGGCCTCCACTGCCATCTGCAAAAAAAAAAAAAGGTTCAATGAATCAGTCAATTTCAACTTCTCGCGGGGAAAAAAAATCTTGCAATGTCAGAATTGATTGATTGAACTTTTTAGTCCCACCCAGTCTGCCATTACCACTGCAGCCACACCCACCCAATGGGCCACGCTCACCCAATGGGCCACACCCAGCCAACAGGCCACACCCACCCAGCACTCGACGATGCATAAGTGGATTTTGGGTTGCAGTTTGGGCACTCGGTCTCTAAAAGGTTCGCCATCATTGACATATACCATCATTTTCAAGGAGAACATCAGGATTCATCTGAAGTCTTAAATTTCATTGTTAGAGAATCAAGGAATTATAGAATGAACTTTAGGAACTCATTTAGTGAAAAAGGGACTACCAAAAACAAAGAAATAGAAGAAAGCAAACTGGATGTCAGCACAAATCATGGAAATTGCCAAGAGAGAAGAGAAGCCAGAGCCAAGAAAGACAAAAATCTCAGAAATGAATTTTAACAAAGAGTTCAGACAGCTGTTAGAAGAGACAAGAGGTAGTATTGCAATATCTGTAAAGACACTGAGGTTTGAAGAACAAGGAAAGTCTTTCAAAGGAACTCCATCCTCAAATTGGTTTGCCAATAAATCTGGAGGATGACACAGTGACAGTCCTACTGGAAGAGGTTAATCCACATTCCAGTGTGCGAACTATCATATAATATCCTTAATTTCTATATGCTAGCAAGTGCTTAGGATCATCCAAAACAGTTTAGAGTCCAAATAGTAAAAAATATGCCAGATGTTTAAACTGGCTTTAGAAAAGGCCAAAAAACATAAGACATTTTTGCAGAGTCACACTGGATAATTGCAAAGGCCGAAGATTACCAAAAAGAAATCAGTTGTGCTTCATCAATTATAGAAAAGCCTTTGATTAAATTGATTGCATCAAGTTCTGGAAAATGCTCAAAAATGGGAATCCTGGAACATCTCATTGTCTTCATGAAATATTTATGCAGATCAGGAAGTCACAGTATGGGCAGAACATGGTAAAACAGATTGGTTCCAAGTTGGCAAAGGAATGCAACAAGGCACATATTCTCCCTTTATTTATTCAATCTATATATATTATGGGAAGCTGGGTTGGAAGAAGTCAAGAGTGGTTTTAAAATTGATGAATGAAATATCAATAATCTGTGCTATGCCAGAAACACTGTCCTAATAGCCAAAAATGCAAAGAATCTGCAAGCCCCAGTATTGCATTCCTTAAGCAAGACCCATAGTTGGTGCTTCCAACAGTTTTTGGTATTTCTTTTCCTCTTTAGGAGATATTTTCCCAATGAGATTTGTAGTTTTACAATCCCTGGAATCCTCAAAACATTTGAAATTGAACGTGTTGTCTGTTTTGGCTGTAACACAATCACTACCTGAACTCTGGAAATTAAAGGGAGGAGGAGGGGGAGAAAGAGGAGGAGGAGGAGGAAGAGGAGGAGGAGGAGGAGAAGGAGGAGGAGGAGGAGGAGGCAGTTTAATCTGAATGATGAAAGCTGTCAGTTCCCAAGTAAACCTTTTTGCAGGTCCAATTTAATTTAGGGCAATTCTGCCCTTCAGCCTCAGCTGCTGTCTCATGTGCTCCCAACCATTCTTAAACCAGCTTCAGAAAGTCCATTTGCAGTTTGATTCCAGTGGCTTGGCAAGAAGACTGAGCTGGTGTTCAGACCAGACCATGACCTCTGTAAGACCTCATTGGTCATTCTCTGCTTCTTGCCCTTCCATTCAGGAAAGGCAGGAGTAACTAGTTGTTTCCAGTATGGACTGGCCTATGAACTGGCCTTTTTCTTTTAGGGATTCTTCCTGCCTAACTAGCCCCATGCTGTTCCTTTACTTTTCCAATTTGTTGGGAACTGGGAAAGTGGGATGCTCCATTCACCCACCATTTCCCACGTTATCTCCTTGACACTAACATGAACCTTTTTTTAATTTCTTTTTCTTCCCCTTATAGTTCCTTAGAATTGCTCTGAAGCTGCAATAATCAGAACAATAAGGAACAAATTGTTCTTTTGTTCCTAAGTTCCTCTGGGTTCTATGAAAATTTTGCAGCAAGGAACAATGGATAAGTCAGCTTCATAGAAACAAAGTAGTAATGTCCGCAGACAACCCCATCCTATTTCCCCACCTCCATCCTACCTTAATGCCTGTAACTTGATAGCCAAGCTATCTTTGAACTCAGGTTTAAGGCGTTTTCAAAAGAGCAATAGTCCTGTGCTCAGAAATAATCCTACTGGTAGATTACAGGTAGGAAGAAGTGGTTGTGGGGCACATTATCTTCCACCCCCACCTCTCCTGCCTCTTTCATTCACAATTACATTTACTTCCTTCTGTGTGTTCATCAGTTCCATTCGACAACATCAAAACACTTTTGATCCACTCCATTATACCATTCACCTTACTCTTAGTTTGACAGTGACACACACAAAGACAGAGATAGAAATGGAGATGAAAATAGAGAGATAGCAATATATATTGTCTTCTGCATCATAGAGAGTGCCAGTCAATTCTGGCATATTTTGTCCATTATGCCACAAGCACAAACGAAGCTCAGCTTTATCTCATGTTATTCCATGCAAAAATCTCTCATCCAGAGTCTACCAGTCATGCTAACATACTGTTACCTATATCCTACCAACTTGGAAGCATTATTGTTTGTAAACATTCAAAAAATTACTACCAGGTTGTGTGTGTGTGTGTGTGTTTCAGATTCTAATGTGTGATGCTCCATTGTTAGAACTGGGGACATTATTATTATTATTATTAGCATGTACCCTGGAGATCTGAGCTAGAACAATATCTGGTATCCATAGGTTCCTCCTAGGTTTCTTGCTGTACTGCTTCAGAATAGAAATTGGTTCTGTGCTACTTGTAGCATAAAAAGAACATGTACGAATCCTCCCCTCGAATGCTATCTTTAGGGAAATGTTAAGAAATGCATCAGCCCAGAATTAATTAGAGTCAGGACAAGTTTCCTGTTTTCAGTTTGTCTTGCTTTGGCTATGCGACGAGCCATTCTCCTCCGGAGAAATTCTAGAAAGAACTGGTTACTTTTCTTATAAGCCACTAGACCTTGTGTCATGGTGTGCTGCATTCTTTTCTTCATTGATTGATTCATTAATTTTTCTCTCCATGCATTATCATTACTGCCACTATAGCCACTAAAACCCCACTCACCCCAAAGCCAAATGTGCCTCATTCTGAGACTTCAACACCATTAAAAAACTGTAAACTCTAACAAAAACTTTGAATTTTAGCCTTGCTAATTTCAGCTTTCGCCTCTCTACACCTCAGGAAATGTTACATGCATCTCCTGGACACAAATAAATTGCGCATCACTAAATTAAAGCTTCAGTTTGTGTTGGGCAGGCCAGGAGTAAGGTTATCTTCGCTATATTTGCTTGGGAAATTATGAAAGCTAATCTGTATTAAGCCACAGTATATGTAGTTTCAAGGCCCCAATGCCCTTCTGTCTTAGCTCCATCACACAGCCAAAGGATAAAAGAAATGGAGATTCTCAAGTAATAAAAGTTGACAAACGTGTTGCATGTTTGTACTTACCAGGAAGCAGGTAGGATATGATAAAATGGTTTGCTGTGTAATTGACGCATTCAATAACCTCGCAGGTCCATGCATTGCAACCATTCTTCCAAAGCAACTTCATTTGGTACTTCAAGCATTTTAAAGCATCTGATGCCACAAAGCATCTGCCAGATTTTTGAATTGTGCATCTTTTCCCAACTGCCTCTTCTGATGTTACTGTCAGCGTGTCTGGAATTCATTCACTTTCCCAAAATTCTGTGTTCTTATTCAGCATCTCTGCTCTGATCAGCTTGACCTCTCCCAAGACTGTACAGTGGAGAAAAGGTCAGAAACTAACAGTGTCTTTGCTTTCCTCTGACGCATCTCTTGCAAACCCCAAAATAAGTTTCACACATTGTGTCTGCACTGCCCCTATTGGGCTCTGTAGACATTTCACTAAATATAAGCCCTGATGACAACGTCTTGAAAACACATAGGAGCACAAAACAATAGTGGCTATTTTAAAATCTTTCTACCTCAATACATAGTTTTAAGGGATTGTGCTTCTGTGTTTGTGTTTGTGTATGTGTTTCTATGATAATGTTCAGATAACAAATGTTATCTCATGTTTTTCCAATTCTCATTTAAAATTATGTACATAGCAACCACCAAATCAGATTCACACATGTCTAATTACAACTGATGGACCTGGAGACAAGTACATATAAGTGGGTGTTTGGCTCTTCCTGGCTGAGGATTGCACGATGGGGAAAGCACTGTCCAAAATATGCACTAAGTAACAATAACTAAGTGAGCAGAACCAGGGGAAATATTAAATCTGATTTAAACACAGTCAAATTAAATACTTAAATATAATCATAAAATGATTTCTCTTCTTTGTTATGCAAGAAATTAGAATTTGATGGCCATTTTTGCAGGGGCTCTTCAAGTTACATACTGTACATAAAAATAATACATAATCATATCCCACAGTGGAATTGACACCAATGGCTTCATGGATACTATCTGGAGGCCTTGTTAATTTCTCAGATCTACAGTGCTGGAACCCCCTTACGACTTCTCTCCCACACTGACCAAATTTAAGTTCGAAGCCCAGTCTGAGCTCATAGGAATTAGTTCATAGGAATTCAAAAAGGAGGGGTGGATTCAAAGCAGGAAAAAAAATGATTGCACATTAAAGTGCAATCCATTAGTCCTCAGGCTGGCAAAAAAAGTGTTCCAGCACAAATTCCACTGGCTTCATTGCCAACCCCCGTTCTGCTTATGCTGATGATTGTTGCTGTCTTTGTGTAGGACAGAGACTGGTGGATTCCTGTAGCTTTATTTCGCCTCCCACTGAGCATTACTTGCCAGCTGGAAAAACAACCGCCAATGGTGCTCTTTAATATGTGGTGGGGCTGGTTGGGTAAATGTAGACAGATGCTTTGAATTGTGGGTTTAGCCACCTTTCAAGTTGCTGGACTTTCACAGTTCTGCATGAGCATCGTAAAGCCATGTCCAAAATAGCCTTGCTGGCAGATCGAAGATATGGAGGAGGGCTTGTGGGTTGAAGCGAGAGGGACTTTCTTGATACTCTTGCTTAAAGTATTCCTTTCCATTTCATATCAGAGCTCTCAACTCTTCCTCAAATGCTCCTCCCAGCTCCTCACCCATGCACACTCAGTGGAAACCAGAGTAACATAAATGATTTCAGAAGTGAAGTGAAAGGTTTGTTGGAGGAAGCTAGAAAACTAAAGAACAGATGTTCCAAAACCCCAGGTGGAATTTGACTTGAAAGTACATTTCTGGCTACACAGCAGATGCTTCAAGGTTCTTCAGCCATCACTGAAACAGTTCAGAAGAAGATGATCAGGGGACTGGAGGCTAAAACATATAAAGAATAGTTGCTGGAATTGGGAATGTCTAGTTTAATGAAGAGAAGGACGAGGGGGACATGATAGCAGTGTTCCAATATCTCAGGGGTTGCCACAAAGAAGAGGGAGTCAAGCTATTCTCCAAGACACCTGAGGGCAGGAGAAGAGGCAATGGATGGAGCCTACTCAAGGAGAGAAGCAACCTAGAACTAAGAAGAAATTTCCTGACAGTTAGAACAATTAACCAGTAGAACAACTTGCCTCCAGAAGTTGTGAATGCTCCAACACTGGAAGTTTTTAAGAAGAGAGTGGACAACCATTTGTCTGAAATGGTATAGGGTTTCCTGCCTGAGCAGGAGGCTTGGTCTACTCTAGAAGACCTTCAAGGTCCCTTCCAACTGTTATTCTATTCTATTCTATTCTATTCTATTCTATTCTATTCTATTCTATTCTATTCTATTCTATTCTATTCTATTCTATTCTATGGTAATTTTATTCTTAACACAGAGATATTACACTTGTATTATCTAAATAAATGACGGACTTTCCTTCTCCAAGATACTTGCCCACATTCTCTCCCTTGTGCTCATGCACCACTTATTTTTCTCCCTCCCTCTTGCTCTTTGTTGCACAGACAGACAGTGAGACAAGGGCTCCCTCAACCCAAGAGTTCTTATATGAGATGAAGAGCAGAACAGAAGCCCATCCTGGGATTTTCCCAAGGATAGAGGGTCTTGAGATGCCCAGATTTCTCTTCCCTAAACCACAAGTCTTCTCTGGCTTTTTTCCTTTCTCCACTTCCTGAGTTCAGATTTAATTCTGATCCCTGCAACTCATCAGCTGCCTGTCTGGAATGAGTCCCCTCCCACTCCCAAACCACAGAACAAAAAGTAAAATAGAGAAATGAATGAATGAATCCATGCGTGCAACACAACTGCCCGCCACCGTAGTGTACACAAAATGATTACGCATGAATCCTCCTCTCAACAACCTTTTCCTTTCCCATACCCTGCATACTGTCTCTTTTCATCCCAGATGAGACACAGAATCGGAGAAGAGGCCAAGATCTGAGAGAGTAAGAAATCTCATGCGGAGTTTTGTTTTGTTTTTACTTTGGCCATTTCTATAGCAGTGATTGAGAGCATCTCCTTTCTGCGCAGCACATGTTTTAACAAAACAGACCGACTGCTTGTGGAAAACAGCATGAAACCCAAACAAGAGCATTAGCTAGACATTATGCAGGCAGCTGCCTCTATGGAAGTTGGTGTCCAGTCCCTCCTGTAACCCACATTCTTTAAGTAACTCACACACTAATCTGCACACTCTTTCATGGCAAAAAAGTGTGCAGGTAGGGCAAAGGGAACTGGGCAGATCCCAACTATGGTTATCTACAGGGGGCAGGGGTCAGCAAACAAAGACATGTGCAACCTATCACATTTTGTCTGAATGGCAATGTCACACCTCAAACTTCAAACCTCTAAGACAGGGGTCTTCCAATGTGGCCCTTTTATGACTTGTGGACTTCAACTCCCAGAATTCCTCAGCCAGGCATGCTGGCTGAGGAATTCTGGGAGTTGAAGTCCACAAGTCATAAAAGGACCACATTTGAAGACCCCTGCTCTAAGGCATGACTGTGATGTCATAAATCACATAAAAAAGGATTGGGACTGTGATGCGGCTTTCATCAATCTGATCTCCCCTTTACTCCATGGACACTGCTGGAGGCAAATGATGAAACATGTATGACATCATTGCATGTGTGTTGTGATTTGGGCTTCATCACTGTTTGTGGTGGATGCAACCGATCTCACATCTTAACCACATCAATGAAGCAATCCCAGCATCAATGAAGTCTCCAAGGGAAAAAATTGTGTCAGAAGAGGGAAAACATTACTTAAAAACCAAAAATTTTAAGGGGGGCTTGAAGCAGCCTTAGCTGTAGTAGAGGAACACCATGGTGACAAAGTGACATAGTGGCAAAGAAGTTCACACAGCACTAGAGAAGCTGAGGACAAATCCAAAGAAAGCCAGTGAAGGGAGACCAAAATTTACTTCTCAGAAAATACACAGAATGGAAATATTTTCAGCAGATACAACATTATGCTCTTCTGGGGTTCCTATTTACTTGCTTTCTTTTTTTTAAAAAAAAAAATCGATGATATTCCTTTCCCAAAACAGGAATGGGTAGTATTTTATAAAATATGCCCACAGCCCCCCCCATATCAATTAAACTTCCCAGTTCTCGAAGGGTTTATTGCTCTTAAATAAAAATGATGACCGAGAGTAAAGCAGAACCCTCTTCCTCCTTTCGTGTATTGGCAACCCCGCGCCTATTGACTCGGAAGCCAACCCAGGGAATTCAGTTGAGCTCCTTCCTCGCCAAGGGGTGCGAGAGCGCACCCGTCGGCCAGCAATGGGCCACCTCTACAGGCCCTGCTCGCTGGAGAACGGCGGGACTCCTTTCCCACTGCCGGTAAGTGGATCCGGCTTTAGCAGCCTGGCTCGGAGAGTTGGCAAGAGCGCGGAGCTGAGGGCGGCTGCCGTGGGAGGTGCGTCGGAGGACACAAGGCTCGCCGGAGAAGGAATGTAGAGGCAGCCCAGCGGGGAACAGGGGAGGATGTGGCGGCGCGTGTGAACCGGGACTCGTCGCCGAGGAGAGTTCGGCGGGAGGAGCCCCACAAGGCCAAGAGGAGGCGGTGGCCGCGGAACAGCAGCAGCAGCAGCAGGAGGAGGAGGAGGGGGTATCGGTTCGCAGCCGGCCGGCGGAGTTTTCTCCCCTTCTGCGGGACGGCGCGATCGGGAGGCGCTGATCACCCCGCGCGACTGCGCTCTTTGGGGTAGCGGGAACTTTGGCCGCACGAAAGTGGGACTCGGCAGAGCAGAGCGCTTGGCGCCAACATCCAGCCAGGATGAGGCGCGTCGGGCAGAGAGCGGACGAGGAGGGAGAGGAGCGGACGCCAGGTGAGCGGGAAGGCAACGCAAGTCGAAGTTAAGGGCGAAGCGGGTGGGACGCCTCGCCTTTTGTAATCCGAATTGGCGCGGGTCGCTTGGGGATCGGGTGGGACGGGGCGCAATTTTAAGGCGCCGACAGCGAGCCCAGAGGGACAAGGCGATGCGCCCGCAAAACCTGAATCCCCCAGAAAGCAATAGATGTGCGATTTGCTCGCTATTTGGGAGGGAGGGGGGGGAGAATAATCGGCTCGAGAGGGAGGCAAGGTGGGACCTTTTACAGATCCCGTGCCGCGAAAAAGACAAAAAGAGGATCCGAAGGCATCTGGCCTCGATCCTTGTCCTCTTTCTGAACTTGGAGGACCCACAGTTGCATTGTCCCTTCACGATTGGACTGTGTTGGGCACTGATAGTCAGTGAACCTCAGCTCATCCTCACCGATTTCCACATTCGTTATATTCCGTGGGGCGAGGGTGGGGGGGGTGAAGACTCCTCCCCCTTTTGAAAAGTTTAGGTGGGACCCTCGACCTACGGGTTTAATCCAGAGCAACTTCCTCGCGCGTTTACGCGGAGAGAGACCGATGAACCAATCGGTATTTGGGTTAGCGGAGGTCAGCTTGGTCTTTCCAGCTTCTGATGATCCGACATTCAGACGACACAATCGGGCTAACCAATTTTGGGGGAAACCAAACGAACAATGGAAATAACAGGGAAGATGAGCATGAGCGCTGCACGTCGGATCAGCCATTCCCGACCCGACACCTTCCAAAGTATTGGATTAAGACTGGGAATTGTGGGAGAGAGCCAAGACGGGAAAATTAATTTATAGCAGCAGATTTTAAGCCAGGAGGCATTTTTCTCCTCCCCTGCTTTAGAGTTTGCTTGAGCATTTATTTGGTCAAAGTGTTTATGTACTGAATTTATACCCCGCCTTTCCTCCAGGGCAGCTCAGGGTAGTATACTTAGCACGATAATCTCCATTATCTCTGTAGATGGGTTGGACTGAGTTAATACGACTGACTTCAAACTATTCAGAAGGGCAGGACTTGAACCCCAGTCCTGCCCTTCTGAATAGTTTGTCTAATTCAACATACTTTGCTTCTGGTTTGATCAGGTTAATGCATTTTTCAGGACACCCATGGATCTCTTCTGGGGATGGGATTGGAAAAAAATCCACAGAAGTGGCTGGAATTCAGGATAACTACAGCTGGATTTTAAAATTGCCACATTAAATACCTCTAAAGAAACAGGCAATGCTGAAATTCAAAAGTTTGAAGTACAAGGAAGAGAAAAGCTATTTTTAGGAAATAGCCTAGTAGTCTTTGAAATGAGGAGATCTCTATGAAGATAGCTACTAAAAAAACAAAAATACTCATTGGGTTCTCTGGAAGTATAATGGAAAAAAATAAGAGCAGTAGAATATGAGGTGCAATTCTAAAACAATGCTAAATTTAGCAAAATGTGGTAATAAAATATGGGCAGCCATCCAATCCATAATCAAACAAATGCCATTTGCTTGTAAAGAATCATGCAGCTTCTATTGAGCTAATGGTTGGGCAGGCTTTTGGAAAGTATGTTAGATGCTGGATTCCGGAAGTGGGCAGGTCAGATCTAGAAAAAAGATGGAGCCTTTTAAAAGTTTAAGTCTTTTTTGCTTTAAGGTTTAAAGCAAAATTGAACAATGGTAGCTAACAGTTCAGTTCCTTTGTTATATAATTTATTACTAAATAAGCACACTTAATTTCTTTCCTATTCCCGACAGATCACATTTAAGTCTCTTCCCATTTCAGACATAAAACTACGTATATGAACTTTCAAAAATTATTTGGGTGAAGTGCTTTAGACTTCCTCCAGGGCAGTAGCTCTTTGCTGCAAATTAAAGCAGGCACATTTTTTTTCAAGCAATTAAAACTGAAGATTGAAAACTTCTGCATGCTGCTAGTGAACATCACATATATTCTATGCAAGAGACTTTAATCTGATATGCACTCTTGATCTACAAGAAAGGACAGTCCAAATATTTATTTTATTTAAACAATTTATATGACCACCCACTTCACTATTATGCTTTTGGGTGGAAGGCTCCTTCCTTCCTTCCTTCCTTCCTTCCTTCCTTCCTTCCTTCCTTCCTTCCTTCCTTCCTTCCTTCCTTCCTTCCCATACAAATAGATTTTGCATAAAATACAACGTGTTATAAAATAAACTAAATTGCAGATGGAAAGTTCTGTAGTGGTTTGCTTCAAGAACATCTTGTCAATCAGTTTGAAATGCCATGTCATACCCCAGTGTCATTGTTTTATCAGACAAGCAGAAACATACTGGGCAGACAGTTACAGATCATGCAAGGTCAAAATGTTCACATGACATCATATTTGGCATTAGAGCTATTATTTCATTTGTGGACTGCTCTGTGGGGCGTTGTAGCTAGATCAGAGTGATGTAGTCTGAAATGAAATGAATAAGATCCCGCATAAACACAAGCATAGAACCTTTCTGATAGTTAGTACAATGTAGTGGTCATGTCTTCTTTTTTCAGGCTGATATGGGATCATGGTTTTAATGGGTAGAAGAAGTTTTGAGTTTGTGCAAAATCTGAAGCACTTCTCTACTTGTTCACTCTCGTGTTCACACTCTCTCCTGCTTTTTCTCTTTCTCTCTTTTTGAAGTGAAGGACTAGGGGGAAAAATGAAGCGGTATCAGGGGCAGCATCTGGAGTGCCTGACAAGGACACTCCTCACCCCCTCATGATTTCATGGCTGTCTCTGAGTTCAGACTTATGGGAAGAAGGTTTAAAGGTAAAGCTTTTCCTATTGATTCGCTTTCCCACAATCTCCCTCTTGTAAGGATCCAATTTCAATGCATCCACCATCTGGAAAGAATATTACTTCAGCTAGGCTTCAGGAACACGAGAACACTTTTCTTCAAACAGCCAGTCCATGCATATCCTCAGCTTCACAAATATTTATATGAATCTAAAACTCCAGATTAATCTGTCACCTTATTTTTGCTGGTATATCTCGGTGATATTGAGCTGCAGTGCATGAATTGACTGGTCTGCTTTTAATTTCCTCTGTTACAGATGATGTAATTTCACTGCTTTCTTGAACATGAAACCCAACGTTGAGTTTGCTGTTAATTATGCATTCATTTTTCATAATGCATTTTACAAGCCCTGCATAGTCTATTTTCACCATTCTTGGTCATGAAAAACAATAGGTTATTTAGGCAGAATACATTTATATCTGTCTGTCTGTCTGTCTGTCTGTCTATCTGTCTATCATTTATCTATCAACTCATCTATCTCACATGGATTTCCGTCAGACTAGCTGTCAGTCACTTGGTGGCCTCTGATATCAAATATGTGAATCGGGTTTGGAACACATCAAATCCCATCACCTAGATCAGGCCTGAACAACTTGTAAAAGGGACAGGGTGACACTGATAAATTAAAAATCATTGCAGGATGCAAAGACATACTTGGCGTGCTGCTCAGCTACTCTGCAGCTAATGGAGCAGAGTAGTGGAATTATTACTTTCTAAAAATTGCCTGTTTGGTGGGATATTTGTGGCCTGAAGGCCATATGTTATGCAGGCCTGACCTAGATGCTTCATGCGTGTTGATCACGGTGAGGCTACAGATGAAAGCCAATAGGAAAGGACTGCAGAAATGTAGAGCATTCCAGACACATACCTCTGGATGCATTGGAGCCTTTTTTTAGAATTATGACAAACATGCATTGGTTGATGTAGCTAATGCACACCTAAGGGAAGACATGTTGACACCTTCTTGGAATGTTCTGATATCAGTTAGAACAGGGGTCTCCAACCTTGGCCACTTTAAGACGTCTGGACTTCAACTCCCAGACTTCATTGTGGACTTCAGTTCTGGGAGTTGAAGTCCACAAGTCTTAAAGTGGCCAAGGTTGGAGACCCTTGAGTTACGAAATATTAGATCAATCATCTCTGAAAGGCATTTAAAACAGCCAGATCTACACAAGCCTTTCAGTTTCTAGACGAATTGTTTGATGGCATCATTACCAGGTTGGAAGTCTTCTAATATACATGTATGATATATCATAATATACATTAGGGTTTTGAACCTGATACTGATAACATCTCTTGTATGTTCTGTTGTGTCCTGAGCCTGCAAAAGCAGGCTCGGGACATTGCTATGGTCCCAGGCTTTCTGCAAGCTGCCCGGGACCAGACTGAGAGGTGCCAGCCTTGCGCGCATGCACAAGGCACGAAAGCACGCCATTAAATGTTGCTGTTTTGCCCGGGGATCCGGACACTAAAAAGGAGGCCTGCGAGCCTGGCTGTTGTTGTTGGAGTGAGCAGAAGGAGAAATAAAGAGCTATTGATTCTACCATGTGTGATCTTCATTCGCCATCGAACGAAGGACTTAACAGGTTCATATTCAAAATAATGGAAGTATCACCTTTGCCTGGTGGTCTTTCCTTTAGATTAATCATTTCCATTTGTAAACAGCAAAATAATCATTTCCATCAGAAGTGACATACAAGTTTAATAAAGTAGTAATAGATGGGGGGGCTGCAGTGGCTTAAACATGTAGAGCAGACTTTATAACAGCATTTCTTCAAGGACTACAATCCAAAAGTAGGCAGAGCCACGAGATTTGTGTGTGTGTGTGTGTGTGTGTGAAGATTTTAAAGGTTCCTCTTATATCCACCTGCTATTTGCTTTTAGCATATAAAATTTACATGAAATGCTTTATTGTCTTGGGCCCTTGGACATGAGTATCTGTAAGAAAGTATTTTCCAGATTGCCTCATCCCTTCCAATTTTCTGAGTGATGAAAGACATGTCTGGAATGGATAATGCCTTGGAGAGGCACATATGATGGACAGGGTTGAAGTAAGCAGCAAATGTTGGCTGTAACCCAAAATGGGTGAAGATATTTATTCTTTCATACCACTCTTTTTCTTCTTTCTTCTATCTGAAGTGGCAGATCTTTTACAGAAGGGTTTTGAAATTAATATTTAGGCCCAAACGTTACTCTAGGGTTGCGGACTGATCATCTATGCATTCAAGGACAAGGATTGGAGGTGTTGGACAATAGACCCTGTGTCTATTACTTTGGCCTACATTCCTTTGATTAGTATGAAATTATTTTTCATAGAATAGCCAACATATTAATAAATAATAGCTGCCACAACGTGCCGAATATAATGTAGTATTAAATTTATGATTTGGTGTGTCATCTGCAGCTATCTGCCTAGCATGCTTGTGTGCTTTAGAATTGCCCCTTCTGGATCCAGAAGTTGTGTCAAAGAACTAAGATATGGCCTTTAAATAAACTGAAGAAGCTTCTTGGATGAGAAGCGAAACACTTTCAAAGAACAAAAAAATCCAAGAAAGTCCAGTTGTCTTTTGAAAAAAGCACCTTTGAGACAATCATGACCTGGATGATTGAGATTCTCCATAGACCTTGAAATGTACGTGCTTTTTTTCTGATGTAAAATGTGTCATTTGTGGGTCCCATTCCTTTTGGTGCAGTGGAGTGGTTTAAAGGCAGTTGGATGGGAGGTTTTCCACTTTTCTGTTTATCAAGGGGGAAAAAAAGGAGGGAATCAATGTATAAATAGGACTTAGCAATTATCTGAGGAAGATTTGTTCTGCCTTGGAAGTCCAAGCTTAGTATTTTATCAGGAGATAATCTTATTATCTTATCCTATTGTTTCTCCAAAGCATTCACAATGCCATACGTGGTTTCCCAATCCATATCTTATCTTCACAATATCCCTGTGTTAGGTATTAGTAAGGGAGATAATGAGTGGCCTAAGATCATCCAGTAAACTTTGCAAGATGGTGGGCTTTCCCAAGGTCTATGTAATCTAGTTCTCAGTTACTTTCTTAGCCTTAGTCCACTGAGTCATGTTTCATAGGGAAATCGTGTGTATGCTCTTTTTGCTGGCATATTTAATTGTTCTCATCTGACAGAAGGTTTAAATAAGAGGCTCTCCCGTAGTTTTATCAGGTTCTAGCAATCCGCCTTGCTTTTTCAACTTGAAGCTCTCTTTGCTGGCTGGAAATTCTTGGAAATGTATCCAGACAACCCCTGATGGAGAGGTTTTATGTATTTAACCTCTCTTTTGTTTGGACAATAGAATTGATTCCAGGTCCGCCTCAAGCAAAATTCCCCACTTCTAATTTTTCTGATTTTAAATTGCTATGTTTGCATAAATATTAGAATAACAGCAAAGGGTGTTGTGTTTGGTAATTAGCAACTTCGCTGAATCTCCTTATAGGAGCTACTGGGAAAATGGCAAGGTTGGGATCTAGAAAACGGGAGCTTTTAGCTAAGACTTTGTTGGGAGTTTTTACTGCCACCAGCAACTATATAAAAGAGAGGCATGGGTAAGGCAAAGTAGCTTGTTGGCAAGTCTCTTCCCCCCCTCCCCCCATCATCTGCATTTTTCTCTGCAGTTCTCTTTCCCTCTTTCCCCAGCATCCCAGGGCTGCCAGTAGCTGAATCTGAATATAAAACATATATTGGGAAGTTGAAAAAAAGAGGTACAAGCCTTGCTTTCTCCCCTTTCAATCACTTCTCTTATTCCCTATTCCTTATTCCCAACATTTGTACTTCCAGAGTACTAATCTTGCTATTCCCTGCACCTTCTGAATGCCCAGTATAGGCTTGAATGGGCAGCTCTAATCATTTAAGGCTGTCAGGAGGCAACAGGAGCCCCCTGTTTACTCTGTTAAAAGTCTATAGCAGTGCCAAGAGTTTGCTATTCACTTTCAGTGAAGGTGTCTGAGCCAAGACAATGGCAACCTTCTTTTCTGCTCAATATATTGCATATTCTCCTGCTGGGGAATTCTTTCTTTCAATCTCTTTGTGTAATTAGGTTATCTTCTCCGTACAGTACCGTATACAATAGTGGTATGCCAAAAAGAGAAGGAGGAGGAGCCAAGCATCCCCTCCAATGGATGCAAACATTCCTCATATGCAAGAAACACTGCAAACTCCTCCTACTTTTCCAGCAGGACTCGGTGCTTAAAAATGAATATGTGTGTCCTCTAGAAATTTGATTACAGCAGGAAGACGCTAGTGCATAGGCTTTGTACGTGGTGCAACAATAAGCAACAGACCATGTCAACTAATATTGACTTGATAATAGAAATGTCAATATAGTATTAATAAATATGTGTGCTGGCATTGTGTGAATATCCACTTTCCTTTTACCTTGACTCTGATGTTTGTACATAGACAACTTCCATGCCAGAGCTGCATATTTCTTCAAAGTCAACCCCAGAGTTTCTCTGCAAATTGCCACCAAATTATAATTTCTGATATAAGAGTAGAGAATAGCTAGATAATAATCATATTTAATTTTAATCATTTAACAAGCCAATGCATGTTGTGAAAAAAGCTTTTGGAAGCATACCGGGCATTGCAAGGGAAGGATAGAATAAGTTGTCAGACTGGTTAGGAAAGTGCCTGCTCCAATGCCAAATCTCAATTTTATGTCAGTAATCCTCCTGGCGTACTTTATCAATTCTGAAGCATGTCATTGGTGGTTCATTCATTTTCGATCTGATTCATTGACAGTAGGGAGAAATGTACCCTGGTCAAAAACTCAGTTGCTAAAGAAGTCATGATCCTTGGACACTCTTGGTTGATTGAAATGCATTAAGTGGCTTCAAGAGGAAGGAAGAACTGAAGAGTCTGCATAAAGGGAGATCTCTTCAAGGAGATCAGGTGATGCAATAATATCTTTTTTGACAAAGACTATCCTCTTCATCTAGTCATTTCAAATTTGATAATGTGGAGTTGTAATTTTTAAATGACCAGAGAATGCTGTAATGGCTTGCCTAATAATCAATTTCTTTCTTTCATTTTCTCTGGGCTGTGCAAAGTTTGAAGAGGTATAGCTGTTTCATAAAGAAACATGACCCTCTCTGTGCTCTAAAGAGCAAAGTGAGAGTTTCCTATAGTTCTGGTGTGGTTCCTCCCCCCACCCAGCTCTGGGTATAAGGTGATGATCTTGGCTGAGCCAAAGAAAAACAGTAGGAGTGATTCAGTGGCATGGAGTATCATATTGGGGCAAAGCATGGCCACTTCACACATTCAATAATGCAGTTAGCTAGTTAGTTAGTTAGTTAGTTAGTTTCATTCTTTACCGTTATATAATTGGCTTAGATGAGTTTTGTTGTTGAGCAGACTGAAAACATAACCATGGGAGATGACAATGACCATCCATAAAAGCCCTGTGAAAAATAAATTATTTTTTGGGACTGGATGAATCAGGGCAGGACTTGGAAGAGTGTATGTTGACTCAGATGCTTTACCTAATGTAATATCAGAACTGCTTTCTTAAGACACCTGGGCAATCTAACTACTGTGTGATTTTCAATCTATTCTCTGTGCTTAATACTGAATAGTCAGCAAAAAAACTTTTAGATAGATGGATTTTCTAATTACAACTAGTGATGCTGTCAAAGCTGAATCTTTAGACTGGGATTCATAGCCACACTGTCCAGAGGATGCTACAAGTGGTGCTGTCCTTTTTTTTTTTTTTAAGTACAATTGAAATGCTTTTGTCTAATAAAACAGGGAAATGTGTTTTTTTTTAAGTACAATTGAAATGCTTTTGTCTAATAAAACAGGGAAATGTGCAAAAGAGGGGGAGGTAAGAAACAAGAAGTGGAGGGGTTCACCAGCAAGTATTTTGCCTGTGAAGTGAAGGAAATCTATTTCAAGTTCTATGCAACATTTTCCCAGGCAAGGTTTGTATTGGACTGCAGTCTGTTGTGTAGTTAAGATACCATTTCAGACAGTTGCAGTCAGGATCAGTTCTATAATTAGGAACAGCCTGACAGCACTTTTGGGGTCTTTTGAAAGGACAAAAAATGGAGGGGTTATGAATTTATACTAATGCATTATTACTACCAGAAATGAGAAATCCTTGTGGCATTGCTTCTCTCTTATGCTCAACTAATTTAACAGGCCTTGAATTCTATTCAGATGACTCTGGATTGGAAGGGTGGAAGAGAAGAGCCAGTATCATCAAATACTTCAGGCAATTCCTACCCTAATTCTGTCCTTTCCCTTAATATGTAATAACTTGCTCAAGTTCTTCAGTCCTACCTGATGATATAAAATGATCTTAGCTTTTTGGGGGCAGAGTGCCAATGTATTTGATAGGGAAAGTCCTTTATAATAGTAGCCTCACCTGTTTGATATTATCTCCTTTGCCTCGAGGATCTGATTGCTCTCTATTTAAAGTGAGAGTTTCCTGTTTCTGCTTTGTTACAACATGAGATTTGGGAAGTTAAGCCTACTGGCTAACATTGTCTTTTACTTGTTTTTAAAGGTCCTGACCCCAGAGCCTGAAGATGCTGAGATGCATCCAGTTTGGAGATATTTTTAAAGAGCCGTACTCTAAAGAGTGTGGTGTGGGCTCCCCCTTGTGGGAAACAATTGGAACAAACATTTCTTGATGTTACAGTGGATATCTTTCAAATTAAGTCATGGCTATTGTCAGCACAGCACCCCCTAGTGTCTTTTTCTTTCCGGAAAATGAAGTCGTGGACCCAGTGATAGTACTTCATTACAATTATACTGGAAAGCTTAGCCGTGGAAAAGAAAAAAAACTGACAATCATTGCACTTCTCATTATCTGTGGCTTTATCATCCTGGAGAACCTAATGGTGCTGATTGCCATCTGGAAGAACAACAGATTTCACAACCGCATGTATTTTTTTATTGGCAACCTGGCCCTCTGTGACCTGTTGGCGGGAATAGTTTACAAAGTGAACATTTTGATGTCAGGAAACAAGACCTTGACTTTGTCTTCCAGGATCTGGTTTGTTCGGGAAGGCAGCATGTTTGTGGCGCTGGGTGCTTCTACATTCAGCTTGTTGGCTATTGCCATCGAACGGCATTTGACCATGATCAAAATGAGGCCATACGATGCAAATAAAAAGTACAGAGTTTTCCTGCTTATTGGAACGTGCTGGCTTATCTCTCTTTCTCTGGGAGCTTTGCCCATCCTTGGTTGGAACTGTATTGGAAATTTAAGAGACTGTTCCACCATTTTACCACTATACTCCAAGAAATATGTGGCGTTTTGCACCATTATCTTCATAGCCATCCTAGTGGCCATTGTAATCCTCTATGCCCGCATTTACATCTTGGTGAAATCAAGCAGTCGGAATGTCACCAATCACAACAACTCGGAGAGGTCCATGGCATTGCTGAGGACCGTTGTGATCGTTGTTGGGGTTTTCATTGCCTGCTGGTCCCCCCTGTTTATTTTGTTGCTGATTGATGTGGCCTGCAGAGTGAAAGAGTGCTCGATTTTGTATCAAGAAGACGGCTTCATAGCTTTAGCGGTCCTCAATTCAGCCATGAACCCCGTCATCTATACTCTGGCAAGCAAAGACATGCGCCGAGCCTTCTTTCGCCTGGTGTGTGGTTGCCTGGTGAAGAACAATGTTGCCATGTCTTTGCCTATCCAGCCCACCCCGGATCAGAGTCGAAGCAAATCCAGCAGCAGCAACACACCAAAACTGAATGATAACTTTGTGCAAACCAAAAGTTTGTCGTGCATCACTGAAAAGAATAAACCTCCATTTTATACTGGAAACGTCTGCAAGTGAAGCCTGCTGAGGGGGCACTTGGGGGATTCTTGTCCTGTGGCTTTTACAGAGCCAAAAAGAAAAGGTGTCTTTTTTTTTTTTTAAGTGGAGTTTCATGCACTTAACTCATAGGAGGGGCAAACTTGAGATGGCTGCTTAATTCTAAGTGCCTATTTTGAGCACTGAGTTTTGGTTCTTCACCAACTGATTCAAGAAAAGTTTGGCTGCCTCTGCAAGTTCTCTTGAGGGTTGTGTAAAGAAAAAAGTGCTATCCTGATATGGGGGGTTTTTTCGACGCAGTTCAATTGAAAAAGTGTACTTGCTAGAGAAATAATGTATAAATGGCCACTGATTAAAGCACTACATGAAATTCACTTCTTATATTCCAAAATGCAACTGTGGAAGTCTTTCCCTTATAGGACCCCAGCAGAGTCTTCCTCAGCCCACCTTGCACATATCCGATCTTTCTGACATCCATCTACAGTCAACATTTAGGATTTAAGAATGGGTCTGAACACTTTAGCATCATATGCCTGGCTTCCTCTTTGGTAATAGAAATATCTATAAACATTCTGTGATGTCCTAGTAATTCAGCAAGCAATCTGGAGAAAGGTGGGGGGGAGAATCTGATGGCTATGGCTGGTCAACCTGCTGTATATATGTACAAAATGCCCTTCTCAACGGTTACTGTGCATTGGCCATAGGAGATGAGACTGTCCCTCCTCTATCCTGCAGTTTAAGGTGAATAATATAGGGATATTCTATCCAGGCCGCACTGCACTGTCATTGATTTCTCTTAACATTTTCACAAATATTTATTCACACATTTTGAGATTTGTTAGATCAAGAAATCAGAGCTTAAGTTAGAATGTGGTGGTTTATTTTGCCAGGCCTGATAAACAGTCACAGATAATAGGAAGGCTCAGCATTTGTTGTGTTGAAGTACACGGATCAAGGCATCCTAAGAGGAAAAGGGGGGAATTTAAGCTGAGGCACCAACTTTTGTTTTTCTTTGTATTTGATTTTCTTTTATTATGCCTGCTGTGTGGCATAGGTTTACATTATATGGCATTATAATATGCTAGTCTGTATAATATAACTCCTTAATGTAATGAGTACTGTGAACATGTAATCTTCAAATATTTTTTAAGTAAATGAAGAAAACATCTTTATGTAAGTTTTGTGAGACAGAAAATAGATGTTCAACTAATCCAACCAGTTTTGCATTTACCAATGCAAATTTCCAATGCAAATGTAGCAGTTGTGACTAGAAGCCATTTCTGTGTTATTCTGTAAAAAAAAAAAACAATCCTAATCATTGTTTTGTCACTAAAACAGTTTTTTTTAATTTAATATAGTTTGATGGTAAAATTAAAACGTGACTTGGAATTTCATTTATATTTCATCTATATATTTTAATGTGGGTTTTGGTTTTTTACTATTTGGGAAGAATGTTACAGATTGAGAAATCAGTTTGTATTATTGTTGTTCATAACAGAACCAGATAAATGGTCTATTGGAAATGATATGATCTCCCCCAATATCATGAGAAGATAAAGCACAGGAAAATTGTGACTGCTTAGACAAAGATATACAAATCATAAATCGTATTTTACAGCTGATATTGATTGGTAGTTATATCTAGCTCAAATTGAAATCTTTTCACTACATTGAAATCTTCCTTGTTAGGAGTCTTCCTAGACCAGGGGTAGGTAACCTTGGATCTTTTATGACTCATGGAGTTCAACTCCCAGAATTCCTGAGCCAGCTATGTTGAAGTCCATGAGTCATAAAAGAGCCAAGGTTGCCTACCCCTGTCCTAGACATTAATCTATGCTTTTCCCATATGATTTGTTTGGATGGAAGGGAACAGATAATAAATGGGAAGAAAACCACATTTGATTTACTGAAACAGAAAAAGTTATTGAACCTTCCCCCCCCACACACACATTATAATGAAAATATACGTAGCATTCTGAGGGTTATTTATTCACAATTTCCCCAGCCAGCTTTTGACCAACAAAGTCAATGGGGGAACGCAAATTTGCTTAATGGTTGCATGATTCACTTAACAACTGCAGTGATTGCTTAATAACCACGGTAAAAAAAAAAAGGTTGTAAAATCAGGTGCCACTCACTGAACAATCTTGCTTAAGAATGGAAATTCTGTTCTTTTTTTTTAAGCTGAGGATTCCCTGTATATATACTCTGCTCGTTTTGGACTTAAGCCTTGTTTTAACAGATCTGGCCTATTTTTGTCAAGGTCATATTTCTTACTCTCTACCCTGGTGCAGCTCCCCATGAGCCTTAAACATTTCCTTAAATATGTGCTGTAATGACAAATACAATCTTTCCCAGATAAATGCCACAGACTGATAGAATCAGCCAATTTTCGGGAGCCCCTCTCAAAACTTTGTTGGGGGGGGGGGAGAAAGTGTGATGTCTGAATTCTCTATAGGAGAGATCGAATCCAGTCTGGGATCTGAACCACAGCAATGCCTATCCCACCATACAGTCAACAATAAGCCACGTCCTGGCCATGCCTGGTGACCACTACAGATCATGGAAATTGCTTCCACCATGCAAATATTTCATATTGCTTGCTTGCCAAGAGGGAGATCCGAGGGCTGTTCCTTCCAAACACATCACTTCTTTAGATGGGGTTCTTTTGGGAAGAAAATTGACAGTTACACCTACAAATCAAAATGGAAGAACAGGAGACAAGTCCTCTTTCTAAATGATGACCAAAAAACGAGACGGGAAGGGTGAGAGCAGATACATCTTGAAATGCTGGCAAGGAATAGGAGACTGCCTGACTCAGTCCTTTTCCTAAAGCCAAGTATGTCCACCCATCAATCTGCACAGCCCACAAAATGTCATGAGCAACAGCTATCCTGCAGGAAACTGGGTGGCGGGAAAGCGGTGCTGGCTTTCTGCAGCCGAGCCAAGGCTGCAGAGGTAGATGAGATGCAAAACAAAAATCGCAGCTGATCTTTTAACGAGGGAGACATCCTTTAGATTTCCAACTTCACATAATAGTAATCTAGCAAATGCCAAGATATCAAAACTCTGCACCAGATTGGATGTCATCATTACTCAGGATACGTTTACCAAAGGAATCTTTCTCAGTGGTTCCGGTTCCTGTTCCTGGGTACAGATTGGATAATTGTTATTTATTTATTATTTTATTTATTTATGAGACTTATATACCGCTTTAAGTGCAAGCACTCTCTAAGCGGTGTACACCAGTAAGCAATGTATATATATTTTACATTGCCCCCAACAATCTGGGTCCTCATTTTACCTACAAAATCATTTATCATTTCATGAAGCCTTCCCGAACACTTCTGCTGTACCACAGTGTCCAAGCAGACGGTGACTTTACAAGAAGATCTTGCTTTATTTATTTACCATTTTGTTAATTAGACTTATAGTTTCCTCTGCATAGAGCCTCCCCCCTTTTCCCATTTTGTTTCTTCACAATTTCTTTAGGTAGTCTGAGATATGATAACTGCTATCAAATTACTAAGTAAACTCTCATGCTTGAGGATAGACTTGAACCTGGATCTCCCTGGTTCTAGTACAACACCTTAATTACTACTGACTAAAAAATTTAGACCATGGGTTTCCTCCCAATGGTAGAGAATAAACCAGGGGTAGGCAACCTTGGCTCTTTTATGACTCGTGGACTTCAACTCCCAGAATTCCTGAGCCAGTTGGCTCAGGAATTCTGGGAGTTGAAGTCCACGAGTCATAAAAGAGCCAAGGTTGCCTACCCCTGGAATAAACTATCATAAACTGGCATAAACTATCTGATATCCTCCAGATATTTGGAACTAATTTCATCATTCTCAGCAAACATGGCCAATGGTTAAGGATACTGGGATCAAAATATATAGATGACACCATGTTGCCTATCTTGTTCTATAACTATATTCCAGGCCAAGTTAAAACTTCAGAATATAACAACTGCCCTGTGCATTTCATAGATTGCAATGCAACTAGCAACTTATCAGTACTAAGTCCAACTTGAGATCGTTATTTGATTGCCAATGCTGAATTTTTGAGAAAGTAATCATTATAAATTAGTACCCCAAGTTTGGTTTGAGTATTTAGTTTTGGACATGATATTTTTTAATATGTTTCTGGCGATTCAAAGGTTTGGAACTATTCATTATGAACAGAAAAATACATATTTTGGGAAGTGGGAGAGAAGACTTGCTGGCTGACAATGCTCTTTCAGTTGAAGCAATGTTTCAATAAAGTATTAAATCAGATGATTAGAACAGCACCATTCTTTAGAATTATACTTACTTGAAAGTTTTGGTATTCTTCATTTTCTATTTTGAAGAAGAGCTCCAGAATTTTTATTAATGAGTTCAGTTTGTGAGCTCCTTCCTATCCCGTTCAAGCAAATGCTTTCTTATCTTAGATGATAGAGCTATACTATTACACATCTGGAAAAATAAATTTGGAGAAAGCTGTAATATTGCATTTGCACACACTGCTAAGTACCTATTTGATATGTCCTCAGGACAAAGTAATCATCAAGAAAAAAATGTAGTCTAGATATAAATAGATAGGATTCTTATTTTTTAATGAAAAAATGAATCTTTCAGATTTGTATTTGCTGAAATTGTGCGCAGGAAAATCATGTTTTCTATATTTAAGTCCCTCCCGTTCAAAAGCAGCCAAGAGCCTTGTTTTCTTTATTTTCTAATTTCTTTTTTAGAAACTGCCTAGGATGGTTAGCAGCTGTTCTTTGTGAAGTGAGTTGAATCATAAGCAATGTTTCATCAGTTTCCAATTTTAAAACTCTGTAAGAAATTATGGTTTTTTTCTGAAATAAGTTGGAGACAAAATATCATTGTTCAAATGGTAATATAACTCATGAAGAGATACTTCTGCCAACTGGGCTGCTAGCAAGGAGGACTGTTCAGTTATCTTCTCCAGATGTTAGTTTTCCAAACTAGAAATGGCTTTTTGTAAGATTTGTTTAATGTGACCTTGCTACAAATACATAGCATTTAGAGGTAAATATTAACATTATAGAAAGTAAAAGGTTGTTGTTTTTTTTTTAGCTTCCATGATTCCTGGAATGATGAGATAGATAGGTATAGGGTTTCCTGCCTGAGCAGGGGGTTGGACTAGATGACCTCCAAGGTCCCTTCCAACTTTATTATTACTATTATTATGTAGACAATGCAAAAGTGGCTATAGATATAGAGACAATTGCATTTGTTTGAAATGAACAAAGTCTTTGGGATCTGAAATTCCAAAGATACAGCCGACATCTATCATTATCTTTTTAATGGCAACCATTCATAAGACAGTTATTGGTATGATATAGATATTCCTACACCAGGGAGGTGATTAATTTACCTAAATTTTATTAATATATTTCTTCTTAGGCTATTATTTTATGCAGCTGATCCAAAAAAGTATCCTTGAGATTGCCAGAAAATTCTTTGGTGTGTATACCTGAAAGAAACTTTTGTGAAGATGAATTGTAAACTGCTTGAGTCCATTTAAGTCAGAATTCACTTCCAGAGTTCTGGAATACCCTCAGATCAGGCATGAAAGATCAAATCCACATACGAAGGTCCAATTAAAAGGATTTATTGCTAATCATGCCTATGCACAGAAATCTTCTCAGCTAATGGTTAGCATCTCTTGGAGTTAAATAAGGGTCAACGAAATTCAAGGGAAGTTGGACATAATTCACCTGTGGCTACATAGGGATTCTAGGCTGATCCCTCTTTTAACTCTGCTCTCAGGTTCTCCCACTCCTTCTTCTATACCAAGTGTCTCATTTTCCCCCTTTTCCCAAATCTTGTATTTAGAAATTTAATATTAAAAGAAGTGTTGTCAATTAATGTAATTTATAGATCTAAATTTCAAAGCAGGTGGCCACAGACTGGAAAAAACTAAATGAGTTGCTCCTTGGATGAGAAGCCACGGAAAACTCTCTAGGCCAGTGTTTCTCAAACTTGGCAGGTTGAAGATGTCTGAACTTTAACTCCCAGAATTATCCAGCCAGCATGGCTGGCCATGGAATTCTGGGAGTTGAAGTGTACACATCTTCAAGTTGTCAAGGTTGAGAAACACTACTCTAGGCTGTAGGCAGAAATCTCCAGTCTAATCTGTAGACTAGGCTGGGAAGTTTCAAAGTCCAGAAGATGGTAGCAGCAAATAATTTCGGTTTTGTTGCCAAAACCACAATCTAATTGAGGGTATAAAGTATACAATTACTTTATATTTTTATAGCTGTCAATAGGCTTATCCTTTATTAATCGAACCAATCCAACATTTTTGTTTAAAGTCTCAGAGCAATTAATTTCATCATTTGGGGTGTGGTGAGGTTTTGGGGTATTTTTATTACCGTATTTTCCAGCATGTAAGATGACTTTCTAAACCATGAAAATCTTCTCAAAAGTCAGGGGTCGTCTTATACGCCCAGTCGTCTTATACGCCAGAAAATACGGTACATCTATAATATATGAACAAATGTAATTATAAAGTAAATGGGTATTTGAGTAATCCAAATTCTTATGAGGATAAGATAATAATGTTCTTTATTATTTCCTTTATTAATTTTAATGTTAAAAAAACTTTTCAGCAGTTTTCACATAGCTATTAAATAGATAGCCTCACCACCCCCAAATCAGTAAAAGATGAAAAATCTGGAAACCCTATTCTACCTTGTAATGCAGTGGTTCTCAAGCTGTGGGTCGGGACCCCATTTGGGGTTGAACAACCATTTCATGGGGGTCGTCAAACAACGCAGTCCACCATTTCCCCCCCCCCCTTTTCCTTAGCTGTGCCACTCCCTTTTATTCTATTGGCTTTTGAAAGCCAATAGAATAGACTCTCTTGAATAGAGTCTAATTCTATTGGCTTTCAAAAGCCAATAAGAATTGTCCAGGCTGTCTCTGCCCTGCTGAGCCCACCAAAAGTCCCATTCTGCAAACGGTGCTGCACCAGTTGAGTAGTCCTCGACTTACGACCGGTTGAGTAGTCCTCGATTTACGATTGGGGGTCGCGGCATTAAAAAGGTTGAGAACCACTGTTGTAATGTGATAACATTACCACCACCACCACCTGCCCCCTTTTAAAAATATTGTATAGTCTTTGGCTCTAAGAAAACATGTCCAGCAAGACAGTCTCTCCTTTCCCCTACTACATATGCTTCCCCCCCCACACACACCCCGAGCATTCTTCTAGAAAAAGATGGGCATATAATTTTAGACTTGACTGCAAAAGAAGAATTACGTGTATAATAAAACCTTGATACTGAACACTATTTTATTAAATCAAAGTAATTTCATATAGCATATTATTAGAAAATTGAATGCATGTACTTCATACACAGATCACATCAAGTCAAAGTCAAAACAAATCGCAAACAATCTGGAGTAGTGTTATATAGGAACCAAAATGAGACATCTGAAGTGTGGGGAAATGTTCATTTACTTGAGAAACAAGAATGTGTTAAAAAGTTGATTCGGGATAATGTTTCCGGTTGGAATACTATCTCACAGAGTCATTTTCCTTTATCTGATGCTCGCTAGTTGCATTTTTTTTTCTGTTTGATTTCTACTGTTGTGCTTATTACATTACATTTCTACTCTTACCTTTTTTTTAGCTTTAATTTTCTAAAGGAAACAAGACTTGTGATACTTATATTCTAACTTCACAATCATACACAACTCAGATCTTTTCTTCTGTTAAAACTGCACCTGAAGAGTAGAAAAATGGTTGTTGTCTTCAGCAGATTGACTTCAAAAATACACCTATCTACCATGTCTACACAGAATGGGACATGTGTGAATGTACACAAACAGTGTTCCTGTTAAGGAATGAGTAAAGACACTTTTCTGAAAATCCTCCTAAGCAGTATTTTTTTAAATGCTTCCCTATTCCAAAGTCCTAAGAACATATTATTCTAGTACCCTGCAGGAATGGTATTTCTTCAGTCTTCAGAAAACCTCAACAGGTGATGTTCTTTTTCTATGGACCTACAGCTACACTTTATTTCTGATTGTGGCTTGTTGCACATCTCATCAGCCAGAGAGCCAGTCACTGGTTTTTTTCAGCAGGCTGTTGGAGGCAGAGTTCAGTTCCAGAAGAGACAATGGGCAAATTGTGCTCAAGATAATGCTTGATCAGGTGGCTAATGCTGTCAAAGATACGATCCTTTGTACGAATCTGAAAATAAAAAAGGACATGCAGTCATATCATTTGCCAGAGAAGGCAGTTTTGATGCTTAACTTAAGGCCAAAGCCAGATGTGACAATCCAGTCATACGAATTTGATAGGTATGGCAGTCTGGAAAAATTATAAGGTTTGGAAGATCAGACTGGGAGAAGACCAACAAAATCAGTGCGGGATCAACTTCAAAATGAATCTATTTCTTTGGTCTATGCTTATTTCTTTAACTACCATGCTTGAGTCTACTAATCTAAATCACAATATAAGAACATTATTTTACAATTGTGAAAAAGACTACTTTTCATCATTTGTATATTCCTTTGAAGATTTTTAACGTCCAAGTAACTGATGTAAATAATGAGCAAATACATGGATCACATCGTGAATAAGGAGACGAAAGTTAAATTCAAGCACTGGGATATCCTTTAAAAGCTTAGATCCAAGCTTAGGAACTGTAATCTTTAACAGACTGGCAACTTTTTTGAGCAGAAAAATCAGAATCATACTTCTGAAATGTGGTATGTCTCCTCTCTCTCTATGAAGCATCTCCCTGTTTTGCAACTTCAGCCTAATACAGCCTCGTTGATGTTGTGAGAATAATCTTTGACCATCCTCTGCTGTTCAGACATGAAAGTTACATCTATTACTTCTTGGTTCTTCATCAAGAACCAGAGACCAGCCTATAAAGTAGTAGTGAAATTTAGGGCCCATAAAAAGGGTTATGCATCCTTTTGTGGGTGCTAGGGATGATACAGACTTACCCATACTACTTCAAATAATATAAAAAAACCTTATCAGAAAAGAATTTTTCCCTTTTTCTTTCCTGATGGGAAAGCAATTCCCGCCTAAATTAAGGTTGATGATCCAAGCCATATCAGAGTTGGCTTCCAGGGAATGTGGTTCAGTTTTCAGAGAAATTGGCTGGGAACCTGAAGTAGATCTGCTGGTGCATTCTTGAAATAGAGACTTATTTGTAAATAAAACTGATTCCACAGAAAGAACCAGCAGAGTTAGTTCTCTTTCAGAAGAAAATGATTCTATGTACAATCTAGCTAGTTATGCTGATCACTTGAAATGAATTTGATGCATATGTCAAAATCATATCATCTGACACGTGAATTGCCAAACTGATCCAAAACATTACATCAGTTTATTTGCTCCCAGATTGCTTTGGAGAGATTCAACCATCTTTCTGGTCTTGACGAGGGCTTAAACAGGACTGAAATTCTTCTTCCATATACGAATAAAGCTTTAGTGGAGCAAGTGGCTCGACTTTATGCTGAGTTCTCCGACACTGACTGGGGAATCTCTTCACAAACTTTGCCTTCAGACGGGAGAAAATGACATAATCTGCTATTCTCAGTGTCTGTGCTTTGCCATTCCTGTCTCACTCTTCTCCTAGAAAGTTCTCTTAGAGTGAGAATCAACAGACAAAGAGAAACCATTCTCCTGTTGTTCTGTCACTGTTCTTGATTGAGGTGGAGAGAGAGATGGCATGGCTTTGTCTATATACTGTATAAGAAGAAGGATATTACTGGAATAGGAAATTCCAATAGGAAATTCCATCATCCAGTGCCCTCCAAGCTCTCCTCTTCAGACAGTCAACAGTGTCTTCAACTAAGCCTGAGGCTTGCAGTGGAGATGGGGATGAGAAGAAAGCAAACCTTCAACTGAATACTTTTAGCAGCCAAAAAATGGCATCTGGGTCATCAGATTCAAGCCTAAGCTCAGGGAAGGAGTCCAAACTTTATATCCAAAATCTGGAGCAAGAGAGAATGACCTTATTCTTTGAAACATCTTCTCAAGTATTTGAAGTGTGTAACATACCCTTAGCTGTTCTCAAAGCTAAGCATGGCTAATGACTACAAACTATCATCCTAGGGCGTAATTTATAGTACCCTGATTGTTCCCTTCTCCAACCTCAGTCCATCTTAAAGCTTGTAGCCCAGAACTGGGCAAAGTATTTAAGGCTGCATCTCACCAAGGCGGATTATGAGAGAATGATTTCTTATGATTCAGACATCATATAAAGAGAAAAAAGATAATTGGATGCAGAATGGACTTTTGCAGTTTTTAATATCTTGGTTATTTCATATCCTTCCCAGACGAGGATTCCCTTGCCAATAAACCATGCCAGCAAGTTCTGCCAGCCAAGTAAAGTACTGTGGTTGTCGTTTTTTTTCTTTTTCTTTTTTTAAAAAAGGTTTTATTTTAAAATTGGAATATAATATTCTTTGCAGTAGTTCCACACAACTGTGTTGGCTTTTCGATGGGCAATTTAGGGTGATTAGGCTGCCTTGTCTTTCTCTTGCTGTCTTACCTGAAACGAAACGCAGGGGTAATGTCTCAAAACTTTATTGCAATGAAATCCTTGAGGTTATTAAGCTGAACCTCTGCAGTGTCACTCTCCCTTAAAGATCTCTCCCCCATTGAATTGTAATCCCATTCGTCTACCTTCATGAGGCAGTTGCAGATATTTTGATGCTTGCGGTTGAAGCTTTTATCGGCTCATACCCAGCTGAATCGTATTGCCTATGAATTTCAAAATGCAAGACTGAATCAAGCCATGCAACTATTGAATGTCAGGTTTTCAATCTGAACTAAATCAGGGCTGATTTGCACACACCCAATCCCGACAAGGCTTCTGGGTGGCATCCCTCAAGAAGAAGGACTTCTCTTCAGTGGGTTTCCTCCCAGCTGAAGCATCTCTTCAAAATTGCCTTGGCTGGTCCCTAAGATAAGATTCTCTATTGCTCTTACTTGCACCACTAGCAAGTAAGTGTGAATCAGTCTGCTTTAATGATGAAATTGGATAGGGCAGAAGGCTGTGTCTCTACAACCTAAAATAAGAAGGGATCTCCTCTGTCCTTAGGATCAAATACTTACAACTCCTTCAGGATCTACTAACAGAAGATGCTTGGCTTGTCCATTCTGTAAACCAGTGAGTACATAGGATCCTGGATTGGAGGTACTTTTCCTAACCAGAAAGTCTCCACTTTTCTTTAAGAGCTCTTCTGCTTCTTTCCTGGTCATTTCTCCTTGATACCAGGGCTCATTGCTCAGTTCTTCAGCTGCAGCTGCCCCTCTTGCTCTGGAAAGGAGAGGACTGGTACATTCAAATGAGGTAGCCTTAGTCAAAACAGGCCCAGGCATTTGATTCTTGAGAGCATCTTCAAAAGGGCCTGGAGAAAGAGAGGAAATAACAGAGAGAAATTAGCATCACAAGTAGCCGAGCAATCATTCTATGCCATCCAAATTCCTTAATTTTTCTGTATACTGTACTCGGGAAAGATATCTGGATAAATTGCAACTACTGTTCTCTTCCACTGAGACCAAGGTGGGGGGTGTCTTAAACTAGCTTAATCTGAACCTCTGAACTCTTTTAATTACAGGTGGTCCTTGACTTACAACCGCAACTGAGCCCAAAATTTCTGTTGCTAAGCAAGACAGTTGTTCAATGAGTCTTGCCCAATTTCACGACTATGCTTGCTGCAGTTGTTCAGTGAATCACAATGGTTGTTAAGTTAGTAACACAGTTGTTAAGCGAATCTGGCTTCCCCATTGACCTTGTTGTCTAGATGATCACAAAGGGGATCACATGACCCCCAGGGCACGGCAACCGTCATAAATATGAGCCAGTTGCCATGGGGATGCTGCAACGGTCATAAGTGTGAAAAACAGTCAGAAGTCACTTTTTTCAATGTCGTTGTAACTTTCAACGGTCACTAAATGAATGGCTGTAAGTCGAGGACTAGTTGTAATTCAGCTGGGTAGAAAAGAAATTGTATTTAACTTTTCCTCCCCAAAACTAAATACATTTCAGTATAATTTTTATGAAGAGCATAGAGTGTTTCTGTACTAATTTAGTTATAAAGTGATTAAAGGACTTTTCAGATTAAAACTTTGGCAAAAGAGAAGCTGCAGAACAATGAAGTGATATGTAATAAAAGAATAACAGCAAGCCTACTACCTTAGCAGACTATATATATTTTAAAAGGCAAGAAATCCCTAAATGTTTTCAAGCACCACTTTCTGGACCCTGCCTAAAAGGAAGGATAAGAACCAAGGTCCAACCTCAACCTGCAATCCAAAAGGATCTCATGATTTTTGGTATTCAAAGCCTTGAAGAGGTTTAAGAGAACTAGTCACATATATCTCTATCCATTTTCCAGCACAAGGCAATTTAATCAAGCAGGAGAGGCACTGAGAAGGAAGGAAGGAAGGAAGGAAGGAAGGAAGGAAGGAAGGAAGGAAGGAAGGAAGGAAGGAAGGGAAAAAAAGGGCTTGCTGGACAATTTCTGTCCAAACTCCAACCTTTCTTTTTTAGAGAGGAAGGTTAGGCCTTAAGTCCAGAAGATTCTCAAAGGAAGGGCTTATCATTCTAGGTTATTAGAGTCAGGCTTCAGCATGCAGATAGCATTGATCATGCTTACTGATGACCTGTGACAGAGTCAGGATGGAGGAACATATTTCTTGATCTCTCAGCAGTACTGAACATGGTATTCTTTTGGATCAGCTTCAGGCTTGGGAGTGGAGGCATTGTTTCACAATAGTTCTTCTGCTTTCTCTGTGACCAGGTTCAATTGAAATTGGAATATTAAATTAAATTAGAACATCAATGGAAATTGCTCACTGATTATTTTTGTGAGTCCTAAAATGAAGATCATCACTGCTCACAGCAGCAAATGATTGGAAGTTCAATTAATCCACCCTTTCCTCCTTGCATAAGAAATGGGAGCCTTTCTGCTCAGCTCTCATTTGTTTTTCTGAAAGCAAGATAGTCAAAAATAGTCCCCGCCCCCAAAAAAGCAGGAGGAATGTGAAAATTTGGTTCGAAATTAGCTAATTTTTAGCAATTGTTGAGGAAGTTGAATCATGCCATAATTTATTAGCCAATATGTGTCCATTTTAATCTCTTTCCAGGATTGCACTTTTCAACCAATATAATGGTGGTTATAAAATTGTTGACAACTTAATACATTCCAAAAAGCAAAAAAGAAAGAAAAAGATAATCTACTTCAAATTAGATTTTTAAAAGATTGTAAGATGAATTTACTCATGTCAAAAAGATCTTTTCCTGGTCTGCTGTCTTTGGTGCTTTCTATTTTTTCAGTAAACAAATGTTCAGCCTCTGTCTGAAGAGCATGTAGAGTTTCCATATTTATATGTCGTGTATTCTCATACATTGGCATCTCCTTTGATGAATCAACATTGGATTTTCCTTCTGGCATACTGTAAATGTCCAAAGACCCTGTGAAAACCAACATATCTTGATTTCAATGGTCATTTTGCTTCAATTCTAGATATTCAATTGTCACTCTTTATCCATTATGTAGAATTCATTCTGCATCATTGTTGACCCCTGAACCATTCCAATATTATTTATTCCTATCCTGTGAACAATCAGGCATGTGCAGTTTTAAAAATGCTTATTTGTTTCAATATTAATTTTATAGCCTTGTTTTTCTCATTTTCATATAGTAAAAGAGCATTATCTGGACACAAAAGCATACAAGTAGATAAGAAAAAAAAGGGAAAATGTTAATAATTCTTGTCCTTTGCAAGTACAGCTAAATTTAATTATTATAAATAACTTAAAGTCAGTTAATAGCAATTCATCTGAAATACACCTGCTGCTTTAGAAGAATACAATAAAAGTGACAGAGATAGGCAGCAGGAAGTTTTTAATTAATTTTGGAATTATTGTTTGCTAAATAAAACTGACTTCAAGTAAACTTAAAGTGGGATTTTTACAACAGAGAAGAACTCTGCTAGGTATATTTGATAGCTAAAGAACCATAGTGTGAAAACAAAATTTAACCAGGATAAAAATAGAAAGCTCTTCTAACACAATATTCTTTAACCTGTCAATTATAAAAGCCTACATTGCTTGGATTCTCACATATATTACACTGATAAATACCTATAAAATACAAGAGTGTAGCTTACCTTGCCTGCTGGGTGCCTGTTGCCGGTCTTCACCGCATACGTTTCTAATGTGCTGGCTCTGGTAGTATGTTTGCTCTTTTCCCAATGCTGAGGCAGACTAAGGCGGTAGTAAAAATATTCTTCATGCAAACATTACTTTTAAAAACTGTAATGCATTATCAGTAGGTCTTTTTTTATGATTGATCCAGGTGCAATTCTACCCAAACCCAGTCTTCGTTCATTCATCATGTATGACACTATGCCTGAGCATGAATGAGTTTGCATAGGAGGATGAGAGTAATGATGACCTTCTGGAAAACTGCATTCTTTTCCTGTTTTATTAACCCCTGTAATTCTAAATGACAAAACTGGTATATTACATCTATAAAAGGAACTCCTCCAGTTGAATCACTCTCTCCTAATGAAAGAAAGAAAGAAAGAAAGAAAGAAAGAAAGAAAGAAAGAAAGAAAGAAAGAAAGAAAGAAAGAGGGAGGGAGGGAGGGAGAAAGGAAGGAAGGAAGGAAGGAAGGAAGGAAGGAAGGAAGGAAGGAAGGAAGGAAGGAAGGAAGGAAGGAAGACTATCTTAGTTAAATTAGGAGAGTGTAATGAACAAAAGTTACCAGAGCAGTGCTTTCCTTTCACAATCTTGTAAACATTAAATATTAAATAAATATTACATATTTCTTTCATTCTATTATTAGATGCAAGATACCAGAACATTTAGAAACTCAGTTAATGTACATTGGAGAAAAACAAAACTAAACCAACGTTAATTTCAAACATGACCAAGTAGGAAAGAGATGTTATCAGGTCATGTTATTATTCTTGAGTTAACTACACCAACATCTCTTTTTGATATATGGCTCACTTATGGAAACAATATAACGTACCATTCTCCTCCTAAATGCTGTCTTTGTGCTACCTATTGCATTTTAAATGAAGACACTACATTTATTAATATCTGCCCAATTAGTAATGCATCTAGGAAAAACAAAGCTCAAATACGCCTTAGACGTACAGTAAACGGGAACTCTAATGAAGATCTTGTTCCCATGAGCATAAGCAGTGGCAATACAGAAATAGAGATTTATGATGGGGCTGTTCTTCTGCATACGATTATACTACCATTTTGAAACGATATTGCAGAACTTCTTTTAGGCAGCTATTTTCAATCCATCTTCAACCTTAATCCATTAAGTGACCTTCATAGGGACTGCTTTGCTTACCTGAGCAGGATCTGAAATAGGGGGGATTTTGACCTTGACTCTTTCGTCCACTAGGTCCCCAGTGGGATGCATTTTGTTTGGGAAATTATTGTAGTAAGGATGTTCTGCCACTTCGCGGTCTTCTTCCATCCACAGTTCATCCAGACTTTGCATCCTGCAGAGAGAGGTTCTGTTAATTGCTTCTTGATTTATCTTCATTTGTTATCATAAGGAAACAATATTTTAATATGGGAATGGTTTATAAACAATTAAGTTGTTTTTATATCACAGAGTATCGGTGGATTGTAAAGTTCATGTTTACTGTAAAAGTCTACCTTTTAATTATTAAGCAATTAGGACTATTTTATTGGGGTACTATGTTTCTCTGATGAATGAAGGCGAATATACGTATCCCAGGACAGAGTTGCAGAATTCAGAGGTTTTGTCTTCCAAGATTTCAGACTCGTACTGGAACCCATCTTCAGGAAACTTCTCTCTAGCAGAAGCCCTGAAGATGGAGCCCATCTTCTCCCTGAAGATGAGCTGTAGTACGAGTCCAAAAGCTCAGAAGACAAAAATCGCTGGTCCCGGTGACCGACCCAGATTGGATCCTATTTTTCTCTAAGTTCATGTCATCCTCCAAAGGACAAACATGAAGTGTGAGAAGGATGCCACTTTCTATCTTCAATAGTATGTTACAGATGGGATATTCTTTATTGGAATCAGGATTTGATGCATTGGGACTAAAAGCTCTACTATGGTACAATTTGAGTCCTCGTTCCTTTAAACAGAATAGAAATAAATAAAGAACTTCTTCACTTTTACTGAAGGCTGCTCCTGCTCCTAGACTATTCAGCCCAACTTCTAGATCTACTTTGATAATTTAATAACAGTTATTCGAAGATAATAATAACAATAGAATTTATCCAGTTTATGAAAACACTGAATCAGAACTCAATGATATACAAATACCACTTTGCCCTGCCTAATTCTCAATAGAAAAGCAGGGCAATTCAACTGTCTAAGATCTTCCGCATAAAGACATTTGCTCTGTCTCCTATCTTATGAACTTATTGTCCCATTAAAAGGTATTCTAATAAACTTTATTGCCCCTTCAGCCTCTTAGATGCAGAAAAATAATCAAAATAATATCACATTGTATTATGTACAGTATAACAAATATATAATATAGTGCAGAGGTAGTCAACCTTGGCTCTTTTATGACTCGTGGACTTCAACTCCCAGAATTCCTGAGCCAGCACAGCTGATATAGACAGTTGTGATGGCACAGTGGATAGAATGCAGGATTGCAGGCTAAGTGCCAAATGCCAGGAATTCGATCCTGACCAGCTCAAGATTGACTCAGCCTTCCATCCTTCCGAGGTTAGTAAAATGAGGACCCAGATTGTTGGGGGCAATATGCTGATTTTTACAAATGCTTAAAGAGGGCTGAAAGTAATATGAAGTAGTATATAAGTCTAAGTACTATTGCTAAATATATAAGATAATGTATCAAAAGAGAATTTCTTCTGGCATGCTACTCAGTTATCATATCTAAACATTCTAGTTAAAACATTTGCAGGTAGATCTAATTAAAACATTTGCAGTTAGATCTAGTATTAAACTTCTTGAGTAAAATAAATCTTTGTATTCCACTAAATGAACAAATCTATGTGTATAAAAATCTCGGTAGTACTACTCACCTGTCTTGAAGTGCTGGAATCTTAGAAGGGCACTGCAAATATTGCTTAAAACGAAGTTCAAATGCTTGCCCTATGGTGCTGATTATATCCTGGGCAAGACCATCACAACATTCAAGAATATGACATGCTGGAAGTGATGAGAAAACAAGACCATTATTCAAATATATATCCAGGACAAATCTGTATTACAGTTTCCAATTTTATTTGCTGAATTTTATAAATATGAAAAAAGTCATCTAAGCAATGTTAATGACATCATACTGGTATTGTTTTAATTCGTGATTGGGAGCACACCAGACTTTGATATACAATGTTTTAAATAAATAAATAAAATTTTATCTGGCCACTAAGCTATCCCTGAAAAGTAAAGCAAAAATTTGAAGATCTGGCTGGAACTATAGGGTGTTTACTCCTAATATAAGTGGTTAACATGTTTCATTTCTTTAATAAAGTTTGATACATCAATTAGTCTTTAAGGTATTTCAAGATCATGTCATAATGCATTTCTAGTCACTTCTTAGCCAAAAAGAGCTCCCAAAGTGGCTTAAGCATCATCAAAAATTCTCTTGCAGCAGTTAACTAGGTGGTTTACTGTTTCTTCAGCTTCTCTGAAAAATCTGATGATCAAAAATTCATACACAAAAGAAAACTAGCCCATCTCTACCTTTGCTGAACTCTGCTACTTCATTTATAAAATGCTGAGAATATTGCCCTTCCTGTTGGAGGGCATAGGTTTTCAGGGACATGGAGCCAATCCAGGAGCATTGCAAATGCTACATATCTAAGTATCCTCAACAAAGTTCTTATGAAAAGCACTTGAGGGAGCAAAGTTATAAAAGTAAGTTCATCTCTCATGCAGATGCAGTGCACTCTGCTGGACTGGCTGCTAAGACAATCATTCTTCTTCCACTGCAAAGAGCCATGGTGCCATAGTGGTTATAATGCAATATTGCAGGCAAATTCTGCCAACTGCTAGCAGTTCGATTCTCTCCAGCTTAAGGTTGACTCAGCCTTCCATCCTTCCGAGGTCAGTAAAATGAGGACGCAGATTGTTGGCAATATGCTGACTCTATAAACTGCTTAAAGAGGCTGTAAAACACTGTGAAGCAGTACATAAGTCTAAGTGCTATTGCTATTGCAACTCTTATTTCTAACATAAAAACATGGGAGAGTCAGTCTCAAATATTTGATTATTTTATTAATTTGGCCCTCATCATTTTGAAGGCAAGAGGTGTTATAAAGGAAACAAATATTCAAACAAATAAATACAAGCAAACTGCTAGCCAAATATTTGCAGGAAGCCATTAGAAATAAAATATGTGGCTCCTTGAAGAGAATCTGAACAATATGTGCTTTCAAAAGGAAGATGAGACTAAAGATAAGACATTCGTTACCTCTGTGATTAACAGGATCCTTAGCTACATATGCAACATAGTCTGTTGTATCCTGTTGGAGGAGGATAGAGAATGAAAAAGTGAAGCATCTGTCATGAATATGAAAGTTGCGCTGAATCAGAGGTCAGTTGAATTTTCATCTGAATCTTTGCAACCTGGTACTTATGTCTGGATCCCATGGTGACAAGTATGTTACAAACATTGATCCAATTAGATTTTAAAACAGATACATTAATCAAGCAGGCATTCTCAACGTCTTGCACAGATTATTTTGTAAAACAACTGAGCAAATATTTAAGTTAGAAAATCAACTGAAAGCTTAATATGCTGTTTTTAAAAACTGAGCTGTATTTTTCAATATACATTAAATGAAGCTGTTACAAAATATGAAATTATTATTGGTAAATCTTGACTAAACGTCATCCATATTGTAAGCCCCACTGAAAATATGTTCATGTATCACAAGCATGTTTAAATAAATTGAAATTTTCTTCGCCTTTCTCCATTACCACTAAGCCACAAGGATGTAACAATGAGCAATTTTTCCCAAGAAAGATAAATAATAAATTGGGCACAATAACCTCTTGCATCAATAGCAAATGGTAGAAAGGAAGAGACTTACCATGTCTATTCCAGATGCAAAAGAAATAGATTGCATATGATGGTTTGCTATAATCTGCAGAGTTAAGAAAATACAATGTGTAAGATACACAGAATGTTAGTTTTCCTTTTTTTTCCCAGCTGTGTTCTTGAGCATGTAAAATCAGAACCCAAATTAGAAATACAAGGGTATCAGTGACAAACTTTGTGCATCTCTACACCTCCATTAGTATATTCAAATGACAATTCTGTAAGATCTTCAAGAGACTTTCAGATGTGAACCTGGAATTTGGCAATGAAAGCTAATGTCTTGCCTTGCCTTGCCTTGCCTTGCCTTCCCAACTTTTTTTAACTTTCATTTTTTATTCCAATATGGCTCTTAATCTACAGAGAGCCTTTCATTATTAGATACTTCCAGAATCAGTGCAAAGAGTTTACAGTCCCAGCTTAATGCCTGTCCCCATGACACTGTTCTTGTCTCATCCCTAGCCATGGTTTACATAGCTGTACCCTATTGTTTTCTATACTGATAAACACCCAGTCCTTTCTCTTTAAACCACCAAAGTAGCATCACAATGCTGTGTAAAATTTGTAACACGGGTCTCTGGCTGAAGTTTTAGAAGTACTAAAAAGCTAAATTATTCTCTTCTTTCATTCCAATATGAGTTCTTTTGTATTTATGGTTTTAAGATCAAGTTCCAAAAAAGGTGTACATATCCATTTCTTTAAAACATTTACATTTCTCTTTTCTAACTGAAAATAAAAAAAACCCTTTAAATATCTAAAGCAGGTCATCTAACAACATACAAAATGAATATACAACTTGAAAATAGCATAACAATAACTATGCAAAGAAATATCTCTGATCATTACCCATTTTACATCTGCAGCGAGTGGAAGCGGTGGTGGTGGGAACTGGAAAATGATCTCAATTAGTGGTGAGTTCAAATGGAAGAAACTACCTCTTGAGTTATACACATCTGTTAATGTACCTGTATTTTTACTGAAACGAATTGGACTATTCAAGTATTAACTTTTGTTTAACAATTGTGAGTATTAAGAACTTTCTCACAATAACCATCAGAGTTTAAAAAGAGAGAATAGGGATGATGAAATACCAACCTGTTTGCAGTCAGGAGTCATCAGATTTAAGCTGCTAGTGGATATATTCAGACTGATGTTCATTCCAGCAAACTGAAGATTGCTCTTCCCCAGGATATTAGAGAGAGCTTTACTTGGTGGCTGGAAAAGTAAAATGCATGTGTTTCAGTACTCTATCCACATTTGATACCCTCTGAATCCTGCTGAATAAATTGTCACCCCTAAAATTTAATAGTCAAGAATGTGACATTTTAATCAACAGTGTGATGATGCTTTAAATACTGATTTAAAAGAAAGAGAAAATACGATAAAGAAGAAAAATGGATCCCATGTTGTACAACTGAGAAATGGAAGAAACAGTTTTAAAATTGGAATAGCAACCTTTTCTGGTGAGACACCACTGTGTGAATGACTGGTGCCCAGTAACCCGGATTGCTGGTGAGAATTTGCAGGATTGCAAATCTTAAACCCTGTTTAAGATTTTTTATTATTGGTTTTCAAAAAGCATTTACAGGTAGTCCTTGACTTACGATTACAACTGAGCCCAAAATTTATGTTGCTAAGCGAGACAATTGTTAAGTGAATTTTGCCCACTTACAACCTTTCTGGCCATGGTTGTTAAATGAATCACGGCGGTTTTAAATTAGTAACTTGGTTGTTAAATGAATCCGGCTTCCCCACTGACTATGCTTGTCAGAAGGTCGCAAAAGGTGATCACATGACCCTGGGACGCTGCAACTGTCGTAAATGTGAGCCAGTGGCCAAGCACCTGACATGTGACTGTGGGGATGTGGCAATGGCTGTCAGTATGAAAAACAGTCACAGGTCACTTTTTTCAGTGCTGTTGTAACTTCGAATGGTCATTAAAGGAGTGGTTATAAATCGAGAACTACTTTTTAGAGAACGCTTTTGTTGACTGAAAACAAATAGGTTTCTGAATAGGCCCTGCATTTTTTATGATCCTAATTGCTAGAGGGTAGGTTAATGATCATATAAATATGTGCACACACAATACACATTAAATGCATCTAAATGTGCATAGATATAAATATGGCCTAGTTAAGGGGTAGGCAACCTTGGCTCTTTTATGACTCGTGCACTTCAATTCCCAGAATTCCTGAGCCAGCCATGCTGGCTCAAGAATTCTGGGAGTTGAAGTCCACGAGTCATAAAAGAACCAAGGTTGCCTACCCCTGGCCTAGTTATTTCAGGGACCATCTATCTCCTGAAGGTTGTATCTGTCCTGTAAAACTGGGTAGAATGTTTAATTAGTGTTCACTTCTTTAACTCACCTTCTAACCAAACCTAACCCATTTCATTTCGTTGTTCTTTCATTCACATTGAGGTGTTTGTGAGTTTTTGACCTAGATTCAAAGCAACTACAGTGTAGGGCAAAACATTATTTCAGTTTAGTGATAAGTAGAGATGAGTTACAAATGACTAGTTCCTACAGTTTCAAACAGTGTGATAACTGCTATGTTGTCCTTAACTAATAAAAGACATTTTTATAACTTCTACCATCCAGGCTATTGACTATAGTAGCAAGCTCAAGAGAATTCTCAACTTTACACTTAATTCTTCAAGAGGGAAGCTATCCCACCAAGTAGATAGGTGAATCCATTCCAAACAGTTGATTTCTCAAAATGTCTGAATTAAACATTATCCAATGATTCCCCCAGGATATCCACAACTATTGTTAGATTAAGTTGTAGACAAGAGATAGGCATGTATCTTTTACATATTTGTAACAATGTAGACAAAACCTCCAGATTATTGTAGATATCACCAAGTATTCAAGATAAATTTGATTTCCTGAAGTTTGTGCACATCCTGTAAAACTGAGCAGAGTTTGCATCCTTTTGGTTCCATCAATTAAAAGTGTCAACTGATGAGGTTCTTGAAATGGACTTTTTTTTGTTTCTGGTTCTGCCCTTTGGTAAGAATATTTCCTCAGAGTTTCACATGGCCTATACTCTGGCCTTATCTAAACTAGCCCTTTAAACCTCATTCTTCTCCAAGGACTACAACTTAGACTGAGTGGCAGATCCCATGTATGATGATTGGATTGCTATACTCTGCTTAATTTTACAGGATGGACACAAACCTCAGGAGATAGATGGTCCCTGAAATAACTAGGCCATATTTATATTTATTACATTTATGTGCATTTAATGTGTATTGTGTGTGCACATATTTATATGATCATTAACCCACCCTGTAGCAATTAGGATCATAAAAAATGCGGTACCTATTCAGAAACCTATTTGTCTTCAGTCAAAAAACGTAATAAGAATGTTAACAAATATAATAAACCACCTTTGTTAAAATAATAAACCAGGAGAAATCTGAAATGCTAGAGATGAAACCTTAATACAAAACATAGATCAATGGAAGAACATTTTGTGAAGAGGAAAGTTCACACATGCTGTGACAATTTTCTATTTCTATTTAGAGCTTTAATACAGCTCTCACTTTACATGTTTAATGTTCCTAACTGCCTCAAGCCCATTGTGCTTAATACAATCTGAACAAGAACAGCAGATAAATAATTATATAGGTATATGTAAATTAGTAGCAATGTTTGAACTGAAGTATCCATGAGTTACTTTATCCATGTAAAGAAAAGTAGGAGCTCTATCATGTCGCAATGCTATGATAGATACACACATTGAATGTAACCTAGCACAACAGTTCTTGATACAAAAATATCATGCCTGTGAAAAGCTAAAAATTACATAGAAAGATACTCTACTTTGTCTTTTTCTTAACGTGGTTCCATCTGCAATAGAGCATTTGGTAAAAAAAGAACTGTGTGTGCTCCGATCTATTAAAATAATACTCTCCTTAGAGCATTAACTAATATTAATCTATAAAATAGGATCAAGAGTAGCTTCGGGATAGATAATTTTATGATAGTCAGGTTAGGACTACCAAGTCTGGGATGCCCCTAGACAGCTGCTAGGTTGTTAAATGGCAAGACTTAAAATTTTCTGTGTCTCTTCACAGTCATCTAGTAGTCATCTGGACTGAAAACCAATTTGGTCTAATGCAGTGTTTCCCAAACTTGACAATTTTAAGGCATGAGGACTTCAACTCCCAGAATTCCACAGCCAGCGTTGCTGGCTGTGGAATTCTGGGAGTTAAAGTCCTCATGCCTTAAAATTGTCAAGTTTGGGAAACACTGGTCTAATGGTTAATCTTTAACTCTGGTTAATTCCGGTTAATACACCGAGCAAGGAACAATAAGATGCAAGTTCCAGTCCTGCTTTAGGTGTAGAACCCAACTACTCTCTTTCAATCTTAGGAAGAAGGCAGTAGCAAGCTACTTCCAAAGATGTTGCCGAGAAAATTGGATAAATTTATCCATGTAGTCACCAGAAGTCAAAATACAAATGTAAATAAAAAGTTAATTCTTCTTCCCCTATCCTGCTTAAGTTCTTATATATGTTTGTACAAAAAAAACTAAACATAAACATACTTAGTGCTTATCAATTATTCGTATCCCATTATCTTGGGTAGAATCAATATAAATTAATAAAGAAACAAGACAGCAGTTCCATCTGATGGTGAAGATGTTCTAGGACTGAAAAGACTCAAGTTCATGTCTGTCCTGATCCACAGAAGCTGACTGGTTAATTTTGGGACATTTTTCATAGATAAAATTGAAGAAGGACATGATGGTTGGACAACAATATAGTGGTAATAAATAAGTAATTAAGATTACTACCTTTCTTCTTTTAAAAGCTCCTTTGGTTCCTGGCACAGCTTCACAAACAAGGCCAATTGCTTCTCTAAAAAAGATGAAATACGATGTCAAAAGCAAATGCTTATGCTATTTTTCTTCATTAATTTTTACGAACAGTGCTTGAAAATCTAAATTGGTTCCTTATGACATTTATGTATATAAGAATCTGCAGAAAAATCTGAAGTTAAATTAGCATTGTATGATATTAGGCAGTTGAAATATTGTATATTTTGACAATTTCATAGATAGCATTAATTGTGCTAATAGGAACAACTGGATGACTCAAACAGCAAATTCTCCTAGAGGAATGTGAGTTAATAGCATAATATATATTTTAATGCATGGATTTTCCTTCTACCTGAAATATATTTGGGGGGTTTCTGGAGTCAATGAGATTGATTTTAGGTTAGATGTAACAGGCACTTCAATACCTAAAACATTTATTATGAAAATTTATTATGAATCAATGCAAATAGTCTGAATAAATACACGGCAAACTCTGCCAACTCTTAATTCTCATTTTCTTGAAGTTTTTGGTTTAAATGAACACTAGCACCAAAACAGATCACAATCCTTCACAGTCAAATCGGGTCAAATAAACTCTTATTCAATATGATGTCAAGGTCATTTGAATGCTCTGCTGCAGAAAAAGACTTCTCAGTATTAACATTTACTTCTGTTTTAGAGTGACTGTTAAGATTATTAGTTGTACGCTGATCTATGATTGAAATAAAATAAAATGAAATATAATGTAAAATAAAATTTTAGTGTTGAATAGCCTTCATAGTTCCATAGACAAAAACGGTTGTTGGTAGTGTGCTATAGACACAGGAAGACTAGGGCTGAGGCAGAACAATCCCTGATGTCGAATGACCACATACAAGAATCAGGAACTCAGCCCTACCTCCCTGAGAAATCATTCTGTTTAGCATGGTTTAGAGAAGATTTCATTACAAGTGTGATGTATCCAAAGCCTTTTTCAGGAGTACAGTTGCTTTTGTGTTTTTCATCTACAATATTGCCAAGACAGTATTTTTTATTACTATCAGGAACTCGTTGGGAAATTCTATGATTGTTGAAAGGCAATATTACATAATACAGAAGAGACTATGTTTCTGGAAACTTGACCGTAAGATATTTAGGGCTTTTAAAATAATTTAGTGCCTGGGAGAAGGCTTAAGAATAGACCAGAAGTCTGTGAAGATGATACATGAGGCAGATTCCCTAAATTGGATTCTGTTTCAGCAGCTGCACAATTGTTGTTTCATAGGGCATGACATAATAGTTGCTAGCATTCTTTCCTTTGCTAGCTGCTCCCTATGCTGAGACTGGAAGTGCAAGGATTCTATAAGAAAGAAAAGAAGAAGAACACTGCATTCTGGGAGTTTTGTTTGTTTGTTTGTTTGTTTGCTGGGCAAAGCAGGAACAAGGTGACTTCTTTATACTCAGCATAGAAAAAATAACAGATAATCAGGAGGAACAATTGGCACCTCTTATCCTTTCTGCCTATGGCAACAAATCAGATGATAAAAATCCAGATTAGCCTAGCAGAAGTAAATTATTGTTTAAAAAAATAGCAAAAGAAAAAGTGGGAAAGACTGAGTGGGTTATAAATAGAAAAATATAAAAAGCAACTTCTTATTCACATTCTCTGAATGCAACAAGATGACTAGCTGACAAAACCTTTATCTGGAAACACCAGATTATCAAAATCTGCTTAAAAGTGCTTTTAAAAAAGTATGGCAAAAATGGGATTAAATGCTGGTTTGCATTTGTTAACACCTTTGAAGCAATGGATAAGCCTTCCTCAAGTTGGTGCTGTCTTCATCTGAAGACCATTGGACTTCTATTTCCTGATTTCCACAGCTGACAAGCATTCCCAGAAGAGAATATGTTAGGGAAAAGAGGTCCCTAATTCTTTTATGAATAAATGTTTATGATACCGTATATCTTGCTTTCTTGATCAAAACTGACCACTTAGCTAGAAAAGGATTTCCAACCAATTACTAATATGGCTATTGGAGCAAAGAAGGTAGAACAATGCACATGTAAGATCTCTCCTTCTTTCTTTCCTTCTTCTTTATCTATCCCTTATATATTATGGCATATGTCTAGCTATTTATTCACATATAATGATGATTTTTAAGACAAGTTCAAACCTAACTTAATGCCCTCAAAATTGGGCTCAAAATATTAAATCAGATATTATTAATAAGCTACTGTAATAAATAATTCTTAAAACTGATTTATTTAGGTAGCATTATGTACTTTTCAATACATAGGAGGGCAATTCAGAAATAAACCTCCATTTGGCTATCAATGACAGACACTCGCAGATACAGAACTTTTGTTATATACATTAGAAAACTACAACATTACTTGACTTTTTGACATAATCTCCATTCAAATTGAGACACTTGTCATAGCGTCTTACAAGGTTTGAAATTCCTTAGTAGTAGTCACTTGGTGCCAAATCTGGGCTACGAGAGGGTGATCAAAAACATCCCAACGGAACTGCTTCAAAAGTTTTTGGGTGCATCTAGCAGTGTGTAGGCGAGCATTATCATGAACCAACATCACACCGGAAGTCAGCATGCCCCGAAGCTTGTTATAGATGGCTTGTCTGAGTTTTCGTAATGTTTCACAGTAGACTTCTGAATTGATGGTCGAACCACACTCCATGAACTTCACTAGCAGAACTCCTTTGGCATCTTCACATTTGGTGGGATTTTCTATGGCACCACTTCTGGTGTGGTGTTGGTTCACGATAATGCTCACTCACACAACGCTAGACGCACCCAAGGACTTTTGAAGCAGTTCCGTTGGGATGTTTTTGATCACCTCACCATAGCACAGATTTGGCATCAAGAGACTATTACTAAGGAATTTAAAACCTTGTAAGATATTATGACAAGTGCCTCAATCTGAATGGCGATTATGTCAGAAAGTAATGTAATGTTGTAGTTTTCTAATGTCTATAATAAAAGTTCTGTATCTGTGAGTGTCTATAATTGATAGCCAAACAGAGATTTATTTCCAAATTGCCCTCGTATATTCACAACGGACCCAGTGTCTGTTATTCAATATTACCATAGTTTCAACTTACTATTTAGGAAACCTATTGTTTTCCCCAAGTGATAGACACAAGGCTTTTCCACAGAAATTATTATATCCTCCAGATTTATAACAGCACATCCTCACTTTCAAATATATATACTCTTGTGGATTTATAGAATCAATCACAGATTTGAAACTATACAGAAATTGTATTGAAAAAATGTTCTGAGAAATGGTGCAAATATATTTTACGTTGAAAACATTGATTCAAAATTTACAGCAGTATGCTTTAAAGATTAGACTCAAACAATATACTAGTTACAATATTTCCTACCTTAAGAAACATTTCACATGACAAAATAGAGTCAAATAAAACAATCTTAACTTGACATACTGTGTTATTTATTTGAAATTTTGTACATAAAGCAGCCTTTTCCAGCTTAGGACATTTTCCCATAGCTCAAATAAAACACTGAGCTGCATTTCACAAAAGCTTATTGCTGTTATTAAATTTGTTAGTCAGCAGAAGAATCCCACCAAACTCCTGTTTTTTTGCAACATAGATTAACACAGCTCTCCTATTATATTTCCTCTGTGAGAAAGCCAAAAAGTAAAGCTGTGCAGGGTATATTCTCCCCACGGCCAATTTCAGTTGCTAGCTCATAGGGTTGATATCCTAATTTTCCACTCAGAAAAGGTTACCATCTGCACTCTTCTCAATATCTCCAAGTGACTGGAAAATCACCTACCAATCACCGCATTTCAGATAGTTAGATCTGTAGGATTAGTCAGAACAACAGTGGACAGGCTCAATGAAGGGATCCTGCAAAGCCATCGCCCTCCATCTCCCTTTCTGTTTCTCTCTGCTGCTTCACTGTGCAACTCTTAAACATGAGCTTAATTCTCTTGGTGCAAAATTCATGTTCAAAAGAATCCCAAACAAGAGATAGAGATAGTGGGCATGAGGTTGTGCTACAAAGTGGCTTGCTTCATCCTTCATCTTTTCCCTACAAACCCCACAACCACTGCTGCTCCACTGCTAGGTCTCTGAGTTGGAGATCAGCTCATAGACCTGGTGAGTACAGAGGAAGCAAGTGTTTGGACTTCCCACTAGCCGAAGTAGAATAGTCCCTGAAGACACTGTCCAAGAATATGTCAATCATTTATAGGCCATATTGTATATCCATAAACAATTAATTTTATATGCTATATGGTATGGCCATAAATAGTTTTATATTTTCAGTATTTTAAGACAGAGCAGATATCTAATAACATTTGTTATGTGTACAAACTTACATATAATTATCAACAGCAGCAGCAGCAGCCTGCACTCTGCACTATTGCTCTTGTCTCCTTCGAGTGAATTGTACCTGATTCAAAATACAGGGATGGGAATGTACGTAGAACATATCATCTTACCTTGTAATCTGTGTTCTAGTATTAAAATCCAGAGATTTCATGGACCGCAAGACCTCTATACATCCCAAATACTACAAAGAGAAAAAAGTCTGTGTATAAGTATAACTGAAATAAACTTTGTCTAGCATAATCCATACTCACACTTTGATAGATGGAGGTTGTCGGTTTTATTTACGGTATATCTCTTTTCCAACAAATAGTCCATCAAAATGGCTTGCTAAGGATGTATAGTAAATCCCAACACCCCCTTTCTTCTTATTATTTTTTTCACCTATATATACAGCAGCAATCCTTTAAAAAAAATTGGAACCCTTTCTGTTTTTTCCTGTTAGGTTAGAAGCCACACAAAAGGCCCTTTCATTAGCATGCGTACACATTTTTAAGCATACTATTATTAGTCTAGGTTGCATAGTTAGTTAATGCAGCAGAAAGTCCCTTATGCTTACAATTTAATTTGATGCTACACATAAGTGCATAATAGCTGTGCAAGAAAAGAATGAGAAAATTTGCATACACAATATCATTTGTGTGTACTGTGTGAAGATATATCCTGTGCCGCACGCACGACCCTCAAATTGTGAAAAGCATCAGAGGCTATGCAGACTGTTTCAGGTTCTTTTCATGAGTGTTTATACACCATCACATGTGCACGAGAATTTAGATTTGACGGTAGAAAGGCTAACTGGCTATTAACAATTCGACAGCTGTGTAGATATATTTAAATTAGACTAAGTGATCATAATAAGGTCTGGCCAATTTCTCCTGTCTTTGCTGGAAAAGAAATAGAAGGCAGCTGTAAATTTCCTGGCCACAAACATCTTTTGCCTGGTCCAGATATTTCAGTCAGTAAACAACTTTGGGCCAGTTGCTGGGATGCTGAATATAGAGGGATAATGGTTGGAATTCAACTTTGCATGCACCAGTTTTCTGCACCAATAAATCTATTGACCATTGGGGGCAATACATGCAGACATAATTGGCAGAGGGACTCAGCACTTTTGTCCTCTTTCTTTGTCTAAAAGACTTGCTTTGTATGTTTTTTTGTAATGGACCTTCTAGGATTATGCTAAAATTTGGGGGGGGTTCATCTCTTCCTTCTCTCTCTGCAACCACCTTTGGTCACCACACTATAAAAAAGATGTTGAGACTCAAGAAAAAGGGCAGAGAAGAGCAACAAAGATGATTAGGGAACTGGAGGCTAAAATATATGAAGAACAGTTACAGGAACTAGGCATGACTAGTCTACTGAAGAGAAAGACCAGGGGAGACATGATAGCAGTGTTCCAGTATTTGAGGGGCTGCCACAAAGAGGAGGAGATCAGCCTATTTTCCAAAACACCTGAAGGCCAGACAAGGAATAATGGATGGAAACTGATCAAGGACAGATTCACCCTAGAAATAAGAAGAAATTTTCTGACCGTGAGAACAATTAACCAATGGAACAGTTTGCCTTCAGAAGTTGTGGGAGGTTCATCACTGGAAGCTTTCGAGAAGAGACTGCCAACTGTCAGAAATAGTGTCGGGTCTCCCGCTTGGGTGGGGGGTTGGACTAGATCTCTGATGGCGAACCTTTTAGAGACCGAGTGCCCAAACTGCAACCCAAAACCCCCAACTTTGTGAGATTTTTTTTCCCCGTAGAAGTTGAAATTGATTGATTGATTGAACCTTTTTTTTTTTTGCACATGGTGGCAGAGGCCTAAAGCGAAAAGGTTTTATAAAACCCAGCTGAAGGCCTAGGACTGGGGCAATGGTGCGCGTGTCCACAGAGAGGGCTATGTGTGCCACCTGTGGCACGCGTGCCATAGGTTCGCCACCATGGGACTATATGATCTACAAGGTCCCTTCCAACTCTGTTATTTTCTTCTTTCATTTCAGACTTCTTTCGCTTCTGACCTGAACCTGTGCAATTTAATGGCTAATCTGACCACTCTTTCCCCATACCAGAGGTAAGCATACAATACAGGCTTTATTGGTAAACAGACCTGAGTAGTTTAGGTTTGCCATTGTCTCCCTTCCTAGGGCTGAGAAAAAGTGACTATTCCAAAACCCAGCCCTCCTTATTTACTTTAGATTTGAGTGAGGCTTTAAACTGATTCAAACAAAGGTGTATAGAGTCACATATGTACACAAACACGCTTTTTATAGCATTTATGATTTCAACTTGCATAGATGGTAAATACATTTACCTGAGCGGTTCAGCATGTTATGTAAATCAATTAGAAATATAGATATTCCTGAGTAACATTCACAAATAATCTGACATTTTGGGTTATTGGGGGAATCCTGGAATTTTAAGGAAGCAAGATAGAATGAGTACTGATACTTATGAAATTGGCCATCAATAAATGCCATAAGAAAGTGTGCGTGTATAAAAATACATAAAATTGTCTTGCTGAAGAAATGAAAGTGATTATGTAGAAGTCTGCAAAAATGATGACTGGGATAGGAAAAAACATGCAAAGAGCAGGTACTAAATTCTGTAAGAAATTCGCCACATCCCCAAATATGAGATAGGGCCTGAACAAAATGCAATATATATATAGGTACTATTCTTGCATTTTTTAAATCATGAAAATAGCATTTTCATAGCTGCTTCTAAAACTAGCACCAAACTCCTCCCCTAAGTTTGGTAGTTTGCCAGTCAGCCAATATTCTAAAAATAACCTTGCAGAATTAGACATTTCTTATATAGGCACATTTAACTTCATGCCTGTCTGAATACAATCTGTTTCACTACGGCTGCTTAATACTTTTAGCTGGGAAAAATAAGCCTGTTTTTGAGAACTTGCCAATAGTTATTCATGTTGAACTGATTATGTGTATAGCAATATCATAAAACAGAACTGGCTTCATAAAAAAAAATCCAGGATATTAATTGCATATGAATAAGGGCTAAGAATACGTTTTGTTTCAGGTATTTTTATGTGTGAAGCATCAGTGTGTGAAGCTCTATAAATATTCTGTTACATTTGATTGAAATTTATTTTTAAGGTAGCAGAACTCTGCATGATTGCATTTTATTATTCTTAGATTTTCAAATCAAAATTACAATATAAATAGATAAAATTTAATTACTTAAACAGAAGAATTAAAGAGAAATTTTAAGTTTTAATATATTAAAAATAAAAAATAAACAGAAGGAATTAATTACATTATTGAAAATATATAATAGCTCTTACCCATTTGGGAAAGTAATAACAGAGAACAGAGGCAGATACAGTAGTAGTTATGCAAATCAGGTTCACAGTTGGATTTTCTAAAACACAGAAATAAAATTAAACTAAAAATGAAAAAGTAGGGGAGAAGGCTACACCCACTGATGTGATATTAGGATATACCTCCTCTGCCTTTGCAGGGGTATCCACAGGAAGAAGTAAAAAAAGTCTTACCATGCACATAAAGTCATTTTGACTTTTTTAACTCCTACCCCACCCAGATGCTTGGTCACCAAACTAAAAAAAAAAAAAACTTCATTTACTCAAAATGTGCACTCAAGCTTTTACTGAATTATTATAAGAGCTAAGAATTATCTATACTGACCTGAGATCCTTATGGGAAGAGTAGCATAAAACATAATAATCTACTCATGATAATATTTTGGTGAATAGCAACACAAGACCTATTAAAGTTGATCTCTTTTCCTCCTAAGTCTTTATTTTCCTGATCTTAGATCCCATTCCAATAAGCATGCTTTTATCATTATTAATTTTATATTACAGGTGGTCCTTGAATTGTGGCCATAATTATGAGTGGAACTTCCATTGTTAAGCCTTTTTGATCATCGAGTCATGCCCTGTCTTATAACCTTGGGAGGGGGGGGCTGTGCTCATTAATCTGGCTTTCCCATATTACTTTTGTTTGTCAGAAACCCTCAGGGAAAGACGCGAATGGCGATCATGTGAGCCCAGGACATTGCAACCATGGTAAATACATGCTGGTTGCCGAGTGCGTGAATCACAGTCGTGAGACTGCAAGGACTCTGATGGTGATAACTGCAAGGACCACTTACGAGTCACCTTTTTCAACACCTTTATAACTTTGAACCGTCGTAAAACGAATAGTCGCAAGTTGAGGACTACTGGTACAGTATGTTGTACAATTTTATTTGGGGCTATTTTCCTGATGAGAAAATAACAATTATTTTACAGTATCACTATCTCGGTGGTCTTCATTATTGCTGCAAATCTGTTGTGGAGTTGGAGGGAAGAGTTAAGAGACCGGCTAGTCTGGAATCACGAAAGGGGAGGAAGCAATAGAAAGCAGACACCCTCTCCAAACCTTGGAATGTTTACCGAGTTGTTCTGTAGTGAATGCAGCTGGTCTGGTGAGATTTTTGTAAATAGGCGAGTAGCAATAAAAATACTGTCCTGATTAATTTTTAGTGTCGTTCTGGTTCCTTCGGCCTGACAAAAATCTAATGAAATAGAACTGAGAATGTCCCTATATGCTCGCTAGTGTATTCCAAAAATAAAGAAAAAAGCAGCTAAGATTTCTTAACCCTTAATACCATTTGCACAGATACAGAATTTTACTAAATGTGCGATCACAAATATTAATATTTCTAATATATACTTCTCATTAATGTATGTAGTGAATATGCTTTTATTTCCAGATGAAAACTATGGAAAGCAACCATAATTTGATAAGAAATGGTTCAGAAAATGTAAATACCCAGAGCAGAGTCCAGGAGTAGGATGTTTCGATAAATCCTCCTTAAACTAATCAAAATTGTGTTTTATTGCTCAGAAATTCCTCATTAATACTAAGAAAGAGTCTTTTTTCTTTTCTTTTTTTTATTGTTAACTTTCTCATTAATAACCCTGTACTCTGCTCTGGGAAGTGAGGGGGGGAGGGTTGAGGGTGGCTGGGTGGGTGAGTGGGTGGGTAAGGATAATATAGATATGGTGGTTTGTGAGAAGGGTGCTGCTTGGGCATTTCCCCTGTGCTGCGTTCATGTGTTTGAGAGGGATGAGAGGGGAGGAAGGTGCAGGGAGGAAGTAGGATGGTAAGAGGAGAAGGGGAGGGGAAGAGAGTAAGAGGGGAGGAGAGAAAGAGGAGGGAAGTAGGGAAG